TTCAAGGGAGATGAAAAGCATTATAGAATCTTAAAAGCTGTCCATGCTCTTTATTTAGTCACATTGACAGCAGTACTTGTGAGGCCTTTGCCTACAGCCCATTGGTTGCCTTCTTTGGAATTGTAGACGTGTAGGAGAATAATGCCCCTATTCTTCTTCATCATGTCTAATTCCAGAAGATAAGGTGATGGAGACCTTGCCTTTTCCATAGTAAAATGTAGCTGTTCAGGAATAATGAGGGGCAACATCATATCAGGTAATAATCATTCCAGTTGTACATGTTAGGTAAGGTTAATATTCTTGCTGATGTTTTTAGAAATTTTAACAAATGTCACCTACCCTGTTTTTTATGTTGTTTATTTATTTTAAAGATTTATTTATTTGAAAGGCAGAGTTACAGAGAGAGACTAAAAGATTTTCTGCTTGCTGTTTCACTCCCCAAATGGCTGCAGTCTTTTGAGATGGGTTGGGCCAAAGCCTGGAGCCAAGGGTTTCTTCTGGTTTTCCCATGTGGGTGCAAGGGCCCAAGCCCTTGGGCTATCTTTGTGGCCTTTTCCTAGGCCATCAGCTGGGAGCTGAATCAGAAGTGGGTCTGCCAAAATACGAATCAGTGCCATATGGGATGCTGGTGTCGCAGGCGGTGGCTTAACCTGCTGTCCACAACTCTGGCCTCTATTTTTATTTCTTTTCTTTTCTTTCTTTTTTTAAGATTTATTTATTTGAAAGTCAGAGTTACACAGAGAGAAGAGATAGAAGAGAGAGAGAGAGAGAGAGAGGTCTTTCATCTGCTGGCTCACTCTCCAATTGGCTGCAATGGCCGGAGCTGCACCGATCCGAAGCCAGGAGCCAGGCACTTCTTCCGGGTCTCCCACGTGGGTTCAGGGGCCCAAGCACTTGGGCCATCTTCTGCTTTCCCAGGCCATAGCAGAGAGCTGGATAGGAAGTGGAGCAGCCGGGTCTCGAACCAGTGCCCATATGGGATGCCGGCGCTTCAGGCCAGGGCGTTAACCTGCTGTGCCACAGTGCCGGCCCCCATTTTTTATTTTCATCTACTTGAAAGGGAGAGTAAGTAAGAGAGATTTTCCATTTATTGTTTCACTTCCCAAATGCCTACAACAGCCAGGGCTGGGCTGGGCCAAAGCAAGGGGTCCTTAACTCCAACTGAGTCTTCTACTTGGATGGCAGGGGACCAAGCAATTGAGCCATCATCTGCTGCCTTCCAAGATGCATTAGCAGAAAGATGGATTGGAAGTGGAGCAGCCAGGACTTGAACTGGCACTCTGATAGGGGGTGGGCCTCACAAGAATAACTCACCCCAGTGTCTACCCTTAGCCTTTAACTCTCCCTTAAATCCACCTTCTGGCTGCCTACTTGTTGTTCCCACTTAGGTATGATAATAGCTGTCTCAAAGTTAACGTGCAACAACTAATTTATCAATTTTTTCTCATAAGCTGTTTCTTTTGATGTCTTCCTGTCTCTGTGGCCATTCCATTCTTGTATTTATTGAGCCCAAGAGTCATTTGTCATGCCTCATATTCAGTATATGAGAAGTCCTTCAAAACATGTATGGTCTATCCACTTCTTGACATTTTCACTGTTATGTTTTGTCCAAACCACTGTCATCTCTGTCATCTCTTAACTGGATTACTGTAGCAGCCTTTCATCTTCCTGCTTCTGCCTTTGCTTCCCTATAGGCTGTCTCAGTGAGTCAGCCAGAGTGATTCTTTTACTCAAACCTTGTGTAGCAGAGAGCTAAAGTCCTAGAAACTGTAAGGCCTTAAACAGCTTGCCCCCTATCTACCCTTACCCTATTATCTTTCTGTCTCATCTCTGTCTACTCTTCTGCTTAGGCCACTCTTTCCACACAGGCCTCCGTCCTGTTTCTTAGGTAGATTTGGTCTCCCAGTTTTGTAGCGTCTGTACCTTTGATCTTGAATAATCTTGCCCTCAGCTGCATAATGGTCTGCATTACCCATTCGAATCTTTTTTTCATATATACCTTCTTAGTGTAGCTTATCCATGACTTCTTTTAAAACATTCTTTAGTTGCCGGTGCCTCGGCTCACTAGGCTAATCCTCCACCTGTGGCGCCGGTACCCCGGGTTCTAGTCCCAGTTAGGGCGCCGGATTCTGTCCCGGTTGCTCCTCTTCCAGGCCAGCTCTCTGCTGTGGCCTGGGAAGGCAGTGGAGGATGGCCCAAGTGCTTGGGTCCTGCACCCCATGGGAGACCAGGAGAAGCACCTGGCTCATGGCTTCGGATCAGCATGGTGCGCCGGCCGCAGCAGCCATTGTGGGGTGAACCAACGGAAAAGGAAGACCTTTCTTTCTGTCTCTCTCTCTCACTGTCCACTCTGCCTGTCAAAAAAAAATTTTTTTTTTTTTTTATTCATTTTCATTTTATTTTAAGGGCAGACAGACAGAAATAGACAGGTGGAGAGAGATCTTCTTCCACTGGATCACTCCTGAAATGGCTACAACAGTCAAGGTTGGGCCAGGCTGAAGCCAGGAGCCCAGAACTCAGTCTGGGTTTCTCTCATGAATGGCCGGGACCCAATTGCTTAAACCATCAGCTGCTGCCTCCCAGGTTGTGCATTATCAGGAAGCGGGATTGGAAGTGGAACAGCTGGAACTCAACCTAGGGATACTCCAGTGTGATTTGAGCACCTTAGGCTGCAACTTAACTGCTGTTCCATACACCTGACCACACCGCCCCCCCCAATCCTTTTTATCTTCATTGTTTTTATTTATTTTTAAACATTTATTTATTTATTTGATAGGCAGAGTTTGAGAGAGAAGGAGAGACAGAGACTTGTCATCTGCTGGGTCACTCCTCAAATGGCCACAACAGCCGGGGCTGGGCTAGACCAAAGCCAGGAGCCAGGAGCTTAATCTGGGTCTCTCATGTAGTGGTCCAAGGGCTTGGGCCATCATCCGTTGCTTTCCAAGGAGCATTAACAGGGAGCTGGATCAGAAGTGGAGCATCTGGGACTTGAACCAGTGTCCATATGGGATACTGGCACTGCGGGTGGTGACTTAACCTGCTGTCCCAGAGTGCCAGCCCTGTCATCATTTTTAATATCTTAGTGTTCAAATTTTGGCAACTGTAAATTTAATTTTAAAAACATACTGTCTAGTTTGCAACCTCGTTCTTTTTCTCTCCTGCAAATTTAATTGGTCAGTCTTGATATCAGTTTTTATGTCTTACAGAAAGTTCAAATTAGTTTCTTGGAAAATTTATTAGTTTATTTGATGAGGCAGAGTTACAGAGAGAGACAGACAGAGGTCTTCCATCCACTGGTTCACTCCCCAAATGTCTAACCACAACAACTGGAGCAGAGCCAATCCGAAACCAGGAGCCAGGATCTTCTTCTGGGTCTCCCATGCAGGGCGTGCAGGGGCCCTAACACTTGGGCCATCTTCCACTGCTTTGCCAGGTGTATTAATAGGGAGCTGGATTGGAAGTGGAGCAGCTGGGACTCAAACTGGTGCCTATGTGGGATGTCAGTGCCACAGGTGGGGGCTTAACCTACTATGCCACAATACTGGCCTCTCAAATTATTATAAAACAATTTCATACAAATCAATAGTGACATGTATTAATTTTTGGAACTCATGAAAATTGGTTCAATGAGAAACCAGGGTTTATACAAATAGGCAAATAAAGATACTGAAATAAATGCTAATGTATTAAGCTGGTTAGTATATACAAGGTATTCATACTGTAGCCTTTTGGATAATCTGTGTTAGAAAAAAACATATTTTACCCTAATAATTTTCTACAAGTTTACCTTTAAATGTATAGAGTTATAAAGTGCCTGGATCCTGAACAATTGAAGTCAAGTCAATCAGATGACCTCATGTGAACTTGGTAAAAAATGCTCTGGCACACAACTCTTCTTTATCTCTTATTTCAAATTTTGAATAGTTTATCTGTAGACATGCTAATTTTTATGGGTGTTAGTGACCAGCTTCTTTGTATCATTTTTTTAAAGTAGGCTTAGCCTACTATGCCACAGTGCCGATCCCTGTATTACTTATTTTCGAAATAGCTAGTTAAATGAATTTTCAGAGTTATTAGTTGGTGATTCAGATCTGTTTTTGCTCTCTTCTCATTTGAGCACTGGTTCCTGTTGTGGACAATAGAGTTCTTTCAGACCAGCAGCATCAGCTTGAATCTAAAGTATTCACAGTATATCTGCAATAATAGAAACATGAGTTAGATGTGTAAACAGGGCATTAAGAAAACTACTTTGAGCTGGAATGTGGGTTTTATGTAAGTTTCAGGTAAGAAAGGAGTGATCAGATAAGAAGTGAGGCAGAGTGACCAATATGTTTTATTTAAGGGCTTGAGTCTAGATTATTTCCAGTCACCACAAATTTTTAACCAACCTCTGATCTTTTCCTTTTTTCTGTGCTATAATTCAACTGAAATACTGCTGATACAGTTATGTATATTTTCATAAAAGCTAACTGATCAGTTGTATTTATTATCTACTTGAAAAATTAAATTGCTTCATGCTACCAATATGTAGACTTCAGTTTGATTGGCATGGGAGCTCTTTCATACCCCCTGCTTCTTGGTTTCCTTAGACATGCTTTTCATGCCTGTTGTTCATTAAAAATGCAGACCTTTTTTATTGCTGTCTATGCTGCATTCACTGTTCTGCCAGCCTACCAATCCATGACTTCCTCATGTGGTTAAATTGGGTTCTCCTTTCCCCTCAGTTCTAATCCTTTATTTCCTTTCAGATTCAACTTTCTTCATTCTAATACTATGGCTGTCCAGACAATTATAGCTCAGGAGGATCTCTTTGTCTTTAGAAGTTTGGTTTTATTTGTTCGTACAGGTATACAATTATATCCTGTCCTGTATGGTAATCTGTAGGTACTGATGTTTTAGTTTCTTATGGAAAGTAGTAAGCCATTTTTTATATTTTGTCACACTTCCTGTAGAATTTTTAAAAATATGTCCCACAAGTCAATATGTTCTTGTATTTTTAGATCTGAAAAATGTCTGAAAATTCCAGTGACAGTGATTCATCTTGTGGTTGGACTGTCATCAATCATGAGGTATGCTATATAATACTTTCTATAAGGTATTTTTAATATTACAGTGTTAGTGATATAAATTGTGTTCTTTGAAGGCCAGAAGTTTTCTTTCTTTCTTTCTTTTTTTTTTTTTTTAAAGATTTATTTATTTATTTGAGAGGCAGAATTACAGAGGGAGAAAGTGAGGCCTTCCATCTGCTGGTTCACTCCCCAGATGACCACAGTGTGGCTGGATCTTGGCCAGTCTGATGCCAGGAGCCAGTCAGGAGCTTCTTTCATGTCTCTCACGTGGGTTCAGGGGCCCAAGCACTTGGACCATCTTCCATTACTTTCCCAGGTTATTAGCAGAGAGCTGGATTGGAGGAGGAACAACTGGGACACGAACTGGCACCCATAATCAACTATTCCACAGTGCTGGCCCCAGAAATTTTTTACATTTAGGCAGTATTTTCCATTTGCCACCACATTAAACTTTACTGCTGCAAACTCTTTGATGGGATTGTGTGTTTTATATTATTAAATGCGATTTTCTTTCACTCAAGACATATTTTAGGTAAATATTTGCATTTATGAATACTGTTGGTCAGGTCTCTTTTTTTTAACCTATATTCTCATATAATTTTAAACAGCCCACTATGGTATATGTTGCTTTTATTCTCATTTTATAGTTGAAAAAGTTCAGGCTTACAAAATTATGTAAGTAGAAAATATCAGCCTGAATTTGAACAGACTGGAAAGGAGGATGGAATGTGTGTGTTCATGTTAAGTTTGTTATGTTATATTGTGTTGTATTATGTTAGCAGAGCTTCGTGGGAAGAGGATTATGGGTAGAGCCCTATCATAAAATGAATTTTGTAACTGAAGAATGATTTACATATGATGAGTGGTTATAATTAGTACATAATAAATAATGGTTTATTTTCTTACACTGTTAAACACGTACATTATAGAAAAATCATAAGATACTAATGAGCAGAAACAATTAAAATATACTTATTTAGAGTTTTAGCAGGTTTATCTATAGTGTTCCTTTTTGGATCTCATAAGCCTCTTTTGTTCTCTTCATTAATAAAAACTTTAAATAGTATTCTTTTTACAATTACTTGTGACAGTTTAAGGTTTAGACAATTTTTTATTCAGGTCTTCCAGAAAACAACATTAACAACATTATTTTTTTTTCCTGGATTATAGTTTCACAGTGTTATACCAGCTATACAGAGGTTGAGGTAGTTCTTTTTTCCATTTTTAATCACATGTGACATTTCTATTTTTAACTTGTTTTCTACAAAGCTTAGACCAACTCCCATAGCAACTTCTTCAAGTGTAGTTAACAGTGTAGGAACAGGGCAGCATTGGGAGTCTTTGTTAGGAGTCTACAGGGTAGAACAAGACCAAAAACCTCTTTAGCACTTTGGCCAAATATGTAGTTAGGTTGCCCTGTATCAGACATTGTGTAACAGAGTAAATCATGTTTGTACTTGTATCTCTTCTATATATAGTTTCCAGGTTCTGTTTTTTCTTGCTAATACTTCCTACATGTGTTTGCCTTTCTTTTCTCATTTCTTTTTAATGATTTTTTTGAAATGCAGAGTTACAGAAAGAGAGTATGAAAGAGATCTTCCAACCACTGGTTCATTCCCTAAATGTCCTGGAACTCCATTGGAGTCTCCTACATGGGTGATGGGACCCATGTATTTGGGTCATCTTCTGCTGTTAACCCAGGTGCATTAGCAGGGAGCTAGATTAGAAGTGGAGCAGCCAGGACTTGAATTGGAGCTCTAATGAGTGCTGGCTTCTCATGCATTGGTGTAACTCATTGTGCCACAGTGCCAGTACCTTTCCTTTCCCATTACTGCCATTGTGTTATAGGCTAGATCTAATCCAACACCAACCTTGTGTTTGCTACTACCACTCTCCTGGTATTGTAGGCAATTTCAAAGTCTTACATGAAGAATCTTTTTCACTGTGCACCTTAAAACTTGCTCCTTTTATGACTTCTTTTACTATTTGCTATTTTGAGTTATGTGAATCAGAACTCAGATCTTTAGATTTTATAGATCAGTAAACTAGAGAAACAATGGGTATATGAGAAGAGGTAGAATCTACTTAGCAATTTGTTGCAGATCTTTCATCTGCAACAGCCAGGGCTGGACTGGGTCAGATGTAATCTAGGACAAAACATTAGTTAAAAATCTTAAGATTCACTTTTATTAAAGAAGATAGTCTTACATCAAAGTAGAAAGGTTAACTTTAGAAAATAGTCCTAAAGTTTATAAAGGAAAACATTCCATTAATTTAATAGATTCATTTAATCCATGCCCTTAAACATTTTTAGTTTATATTGCCTTAAGTAGTTATGTTCATGTGGCTGATGATTTCTTGATTTTATTTTTTTAAAGATTCACTTATTTATTTGAAAGGCAGAGTTACGGGGTGAGGAAGGATGGATGGATGGATGGATGGATGGATAGATAGATAGATAGATAGATACAGATATATTATCTTCCATCCATTGGCCACAGGGTGCTGGGACTGGGCCAAGCTGAAACCAGGAGTCTCAAACTCCATCCTGGTCTCCCATGTGGGTGGCAAGGGCCCAAGAACTTGGGCCATCTTCCACTGCTTTCACAGGCAGTGCATTAGCAGGGGAGCTGGATCAGAAGTAGAACCGCCAGGACTTGAACTGGCACCCATATAGGATACTGGCATTGTGGGTAGTAGTCCGATTTACTGTGCTATAATGCCAACCTCCAATGTATTTAGTTTTTTTTAAAGATTTATTTATTTACTTGAAAGAATTACACACAGAAGGAAAGGCGCAGAGAGAGGGAGAGAGAGAGGGAGGAAGAGAGAGAGAGAGGTGCTCCATCCGCTGGTTCACTTCCCAGTTGGCAGCATCGGGTGGAGCTGTGTCATTCCACAGCCAGGAGCTTCTTTTGGGTCTCCCACATAGGTGCAGGGGCCCAAGGACTTGGGCCGTCTTGCACTGTTTTTCTAGGCCATAGCAGAGAACTGGATCGGAAGTGGAGTAGCTGGGACTTGAACCTGTGTCCTTATGGGATGACGACACTGCAGGCTATGCTTTACCCGCTATGCCACAGTGCCAGCCCCCCGATTTATTTTTATAGCTTTGCCGGCGCCGCGGCTCACTAGGCTAATCCTCCGCCTTGGCGGCGCTGGCACACCGGGTTCTAGTCCCGGTCGGGGCGCCAGATTCTTTCCCGGTTGCCCCTCTTGCAGGCCAGCTCTCTGCTGTGGCCCGGGAGTGCAGTGGAGGATGGTCCAAGTGCTTGGGCCCTGCACCCCATGGGAGACCAGGATAAATACCTGGCTCCTGCCATCGGATCAGCACGGTGCGCTGGCTGCAACATGCCAGCCGTGGCGGCTATTGGAGGGTGAACCAATGGCAAAGAAAGACCTTTCTCTCTGTCTCTCTCTCTCTCACTATCCACTCTGCCTGTCAAAAAAAAAAAAAAAAAAGCTATAAAAAATATTTTTTTATTTTATTTATTTATTTATTTTTTGACATATCTTTTTGACAGGCAGAGTGGACAGTGAGAGAGAGAGAGAGAAAGGTCTTCCTTTGCCGTTGGTTCACCCTCCAATGGCTGCCGCGGCTGGCGCACCGCGCTGATTCGAAGGCAGGAGCCAGGTGCTTCTCCTGGTCTCCCATGGGGTGCAGGGCCCAAGCACTTGGGCCATCCTCCACTGCCTTCCTGGGCCACAACAGAGAGCTGGCCTGGAAGAGGGGCAACCGGGACAGAATCCGGCACCCCGACCGGGATTAGAACCCGGTGTGCCAGTGCCGCTAGATGGAGGATTAGCCTATAGCTTTTATTTTTAAGATTTACTAATTTGAAAAAAATTAGAGAGATCTTCCATCCACTTGTTCGCTCCCCAGGTGGCGGCAATGGCCAGGGCTGGGCCAGGCCAAAGCCAGGAGTTAGGAACTTCATCCATGTCTCCCATGTGGATGGCAGGTGCCCAAGCACTTGGACCATCTTCTGCTGCCTTCCCAGGCACGTTAACAGGGAGCTGGATTGGAAGTGGAGCATCCAGGACTAACTGGAGCCCATATGCATGCTAGGATTTCAAGCAGTGGCTTAACCTTCTTTGTCACTATACCCCCCCCCCCCCTTTTAAAGATTTTTAAAAAACAGTTTATTATGAAGTCATAGTTAGAGAGATTGATTGATCGATTTCATCCTCTGGTTCACTTCCTACGTGGCCACAATGGCTATGGATGAGCCAGGCCAAAGCCAGGAACTAAGAGCTTCATCTGGGTGTCCTACATGGGTGACAGGAACCCAAGCACTTCGACCATCTTCTGGTGCTTTTCTAAGGCTGTTAGCAGAGAGCTAGAATGAAAGTGGAGCAACCAGGACTCAAACCTTATAGGACTCAAACCCTTATAGGATGTCAGCCTTATAGGCAGCGGCTTAACCTAGTGTGCCATAATACCAGCCCAGAGAGATCTTTCATCTGCAACAGCCAGGGCTGGACTGGGTCAGATGTAATCTAGGACACTGGAACACAATTCTGGGTCTCCTGCATGGGTAGCAGGGTTCCTAGTACTTGGACTGTCATCCACTTTCTTCTCAGGTGCATGAGCAGGGAGCTGGGTCAGAAGCAGAGCAGGCCATTGCCGCGGCTCAATAGGCTAATCTTCCACCTGCGGTGCCGGCACCCCGGGTTCTAGCCCTGGTTGGGGCGCTGAATTCTGTCCTGGTTGCTCCTCTTCCAGTCCAGCTCTCTGCTGTGGCCTGGGAATGCAGTGGAGGATAGCCCAAGTTTGGGCCCTGCACCCCCATGGGAGACCAGGAGAAGCACCTGGCTCCTGCCTTCGGATCAGTGCAGTGCTCTGGCCGCAACAGCCATTGTGGGGTGAACCAACAGAAAAGGAAGACCTTTCTCTCTGTCTCTCTCTCTGTGTCTAACTCTGCCTGTCAAGAAGAAGAAGAAGAAGAAGCAGAGCAAAGCAGAGCAGCTGGACTTGAAATGGTGCCCAGTATGGGATGCCAGCATCATCGGGTGCATTTAACCCACTGTGCCATAATCCTGGAGCCAACATATGGCTGGTTTTCTGAATAGTTTGAAAATTTGAATTTTGTCTATGTGTGTTTTTTAAATTAAGGAGTTTGTTTTATTTGAAATGTGGACAGAGATAGAGAGATTTCCTGAAACTTCAGGTTCACTCCCCAAAACCTGCAACAACTGGGCTGGGCTAGAAGCTGTAACTCAGTCCACGTCTCACATGTAGACTACAGGGTCCCCAGTACTTGAGCCATTATCTGCTGCCTCTCAGAGTACACATTAGCACTAAGCTGAAATCAAGAGCAGAGCCAAGACTTGGTACCTGGGCACTCAATAGGATGTAGGTGTCTTAAGCAGTGTCTAACTGCTGGGCCAAGTTCCTGCTTTCTGAATTTTGGATTTGAATTTGTTTTAAAAAGATGTATTTATTTATATGAAAGGCAGAATTGGGATGGTAAAAGGAGATGGGGAAGGAGGGAGGGAGAAATCTTGCATCTGCTGGTTCGATCCTAAATGGCTGCAACGGGAAGGGCTGGGGCAGGCTGAAGCCAGGAAACTGAATCTTTCTGGTTCTCCTGTGTGGGTGCAGAGGCCTAAGGACTTGGGCCATCCTCTGCTGCTTTCCCAGATGCATTCGCAGGAAGCTGGATTGGAAGTGGAACAGCCAGGACTTGAACTGGTATCCATGTGGAATAGCATGGTAGACAGTGGCTTAACACACTGGGCTTTGATGCTGGTCCCAGATTTGAATTTTTTATGTACAACAGCACTTAGAAAAATGCCTGTCTATAGTTGTACCATAAATGTTCAGTAGAAGCTGATATTAATATGAGTAACTAAATTTAGACACTTATCCTTTGAGATTCAAGCTTATTGTCTGGACTCATAAAAGTCAGCTTTTGGGCTGACTTAGAATCTAAACTTGGTACTTCATTCTGCTGTTTGTCTGCCTTAGACATTTCTGGACTGAATGCAACAAAACATAGTCAGATTACATGGTGCTCCCATTGGAGTGTGGCAGTAACTGGAACTTTGATTATTGGGAGCATTTATACATAGTCGAATCCAGCTTCGATTAATTAATAGACAAATAACTGATTATCACTTCTCCCTAGGGGTCTGATGTTGAGATGGTGAATTCTGTCACACCCAGTGACAACCGTGAACTCACTCCAGGATGTTCGTCTTTAGGGCAAGAGGAGCTACAAGTATTGCGGATGGGACAACGAGGTAAGTTTTTAAATTCTGTATTAAATTGTGATTTTTTTTTTTTAAAGTAGCATGTGTGGGGTAACCTTTTGAATATATCTTGGCTTCTTTCCAGGCAGTCAGCCTTTCTTTCTGGCTATTGTAAGTGATCAGGTCACCATAGAAGTTCAGTGTGGATTTAGGAGAGTCATGCAGAACCCACTATCACCAAACTGCCCCAGAGAGTTGTTCATTTGGAGCTGTGGTGTATGTTTGGGACTCCAAATACTCTTTGATACTTCACATGTAACCAGTGACTGATAATGGTTTAACATAAATTTGTTTGAAAGTTTATATTTACTTGTTATTATTAGGTTAAAACTAATAGTGGGGGCCAGCGCTGTGGCATAGTGGGTAAAGCCACCGCCTGCAGTGCTGGCATCCCTTATGGGTGCTGGTTCAAGACCTGGCTGCTCCACTTCTGATCCAGCTCTCTGCTATGGCCTGGGAAAGTAGTAGAAGATGGCCCAAGTCTTAGGGCTTCTGTACCCGTGTGGGAGACCTGGAAGAAGCTCTTGGCTCCTGGCTTCTGATCAGCATAGCTCTATCCCTTGCGACCAGTTGGGGAGTGAACCATGGGTCTCTCATGTGGGTGATCTTTTGCTGCTTTCCCAGGAGCATTAGCAGGGAGCTAGATCAGAACTGGTGCCCATATGGCATGTGTCACAGGCAGTGGCTTAACCTGCTGTGCCACAATGCTGGCCCCATGTACCCATGTTTTGATTGTAAACCATCATGTGAGATCTGATGTGGAAACATCAGTGATTCTCATTTCTTACGGTTGGAGATCATTTTGAGAGTCTGAAAGCTATGAATAGTGTCTCCCAAGAAATTATTTTCTCCCAAGTTAAAATCATCCCCTCTGAATTAGGAGTCGTGGACTGAGGTTCATTTTTGTTGAGGAATCTCATCTTCAAATTAAGTTAGTATTTGATTATGGGCTTTATGACGTACAAAAATAGTGTTTGCTTTTTACTTTCCTGTTCTTGGAGTGGTTAAATTACATAAAAAATGGGATTGGTGCTGTAGCGCATCAGGTAAAGCCGCCACCTGCAGTGCTGGCATCCATTATGGGTACCACTTCGAGTCCTGGCTGCTCAACTTCCGATCCAACTCTGCTATGGCCTGGAAAGGCAGTGGAAGGTGGCTCAGGTCCTTGGGCCCCTGTACCCGTGTAGGAGACCTGGAGGAAGCTCCTGGCTCCTGGCTTTGGATCGGTGCAGCTCCAGCCATTGGGGCCATCTGGGGAGTGAACCAGCGGATAGAAGACCTGTGTCTTTGCCTCTACCTCTCTGGAACTCTGCCTTTCAAGCAAATAAATACTTTTTTAAAAAAAAATTTATTTATTTATTTGAAAGAGTTACAGAGAGAAGCAGAGGCAGAGGGAGCGAGAGAGATCTTCCATCTACTGGTTCACTCCCCAATTGGCCACAACGGCTGGAGCTGCACTGATCTGAAGCCAGGAGCCTGGAGCTTCTTCCGGGTCTTCCATGCAGATGCAGGAGCCCAAGGACTTGGGCCATCTTCTACTGCTTTCCCAGGCCATAGCCAGAGATCTAGGTTGGAAGTGGAGCAGGCGGGACTCAAACTGGCGCTCATATGGTATGCTGGTGCTGCAGGTGGTGGTGGCTTTACCCACTATGCCACAGCGTCAGCCCCCATTTATTTATTTTTATTTGAAAGAGTTTCAGAGAAGAAAAGACAGAAAGAGAGAGGTCTTCTATCTGAGGGTTCACTACCCAGATGGCCACAGTTGCTAGGGCTGGGCCAGGCCAAAGCCAAACACTAGGGCCATATTCCACTGCTTTTCTCAGGCCATTAGGAAGGAGTTGGATTGAAAGTGGAGCAGCTGAGACTTGAACCGGTGCCCATATGGGATGCTGGCATCACAGGTAGCAGCTTTACCTGCTCCACCACAGCGCCATCCCCTAAATAAATCTTTTTAAGAATTAAATTAAAGATACATGTTCATGAAAGAAAATAAAGGGAAGCAAAAGTAATGTAAAATTATATTTATATCGAAATAATTGCTGGTTTCCTCTGGTGTATGTTCTTTTTTGTATAAACTTATGTTTGTTATATTTAACATTTTTAACATCTGTTGACATTTATATTTTTCATTAAAAATATGTTGTGAATTTAAAAGTGTACACTTTGATTTTTCCTTGACAGATTTTTATAAAGTACATTTTCTCTAGTGATGACATATTGTTTTTCTATATTATTTTAATTGCTTGCTTTATAGTTTATTTATTTAAAGATTTATTTATTTATGTGAAAGGCAGAGATAGAAGGGGGAAGGGAGGGAGAGAGACAGATCCATCATCCATCCACTGATTCACTCCCCAAATGGCCACAATGGCCAGAGCTGGGCCAGGTGGAAGCCAGGAGGGAGGAGCTTCTTCCAGGTCTCCCACGTGGGTGCAAAGGGTCCTAGCACTTTGGCCATCTTTGGCTGCATTCCCAGGTGCATTAGCTGGGAACTGGATTGAAAGCAGAGCAACCACGAGTCAAACTGGTACCCATATGGGATGCTGGCACTGTAGGCATGGCTTAACCTGCTGTGCCACAGCTCTGGCCCCTGTTTATTTTATATTTTTTTATTGTTTTAAAGATTTATTTATTTGAAAGACAGAATTAGAGAGAGATCAATCTTCTATCTGCCGGTTTATTCTCCAGGTGGCTACAATAGTGAGGGCTGGTGCTTCATGTTGGTCTCCCACATGAGTGCAGGGCACAAGCACTTTGGGCCATCTTTTGTTTTCCCAGGTGTATTACCAGGGAGCTGGATCAGAAGCAGAGCAGCCAAGACTCGGATGGGTGCCCATATGGGATACCAGCTCTGTAGTCAGAAGCTTAACCCATTAAACCACAATGCTGCCCCCTAGAGTCTATTTGTTATTGTAAAGCATTTTAAGTTGTAGTCATAGGTTTTATTTTTTGAGAGACTTCTTTATTTCTTTGAAAGTCAGAATTACATAAAGAGAGAGAAAGAAACAGAGAGAGATCTTCTGTCTGCTGGTCTACTTTCCATATGGTTGCCATGGTCATGGCTGTGCTAGGCTGAAGCCAAAAGCTTACTCCATGTCTCCCATGTGGGTGGCAGGGACACAAGCATTTGAGCCATCTTTTGCTGCTTTTCCCAGGCCATTAACAGGGAGCTGGATCAGAAATGGAGCAGCTTGGACTTGAACTGGCATCCATATGGGATGCTGATGTTGTGGGTGGTGGCTTTACATGCTGTACCATAACGCTGGCCTGTGAAGTTTTTGTTTTATGTTACTAGGTATTGACAGCCATTAGAATGGTGATATCTTTAAGAATTTTGAGGTGGCCACTGCTGTGACGTAGTGGATAAAGCTGTAGAGTGCTGTGCCGGCATCCCATATGGGCCCTGGTTCGAGTCCTGGCTGTTACACTTTCCATCCAGCTCTCTGCTATGGCCTGGTAAAGCAGTAGAGGATGGCCCAAGTCCTTGGGCCCCTGCACTCATGTGGGAGACCTGGAAGAAGCTCCTGGCTTTGGATCGGCTCAGCTCTGGCTGTTGCATCCATTTGGGAGGAGGCTGTTGCATCCTTGCTGATGGAGGATCTCTTTCTCTGCCTCTGCGTCTCTTTAAGTCTGCCTTTCAAATAAATAAATAAATCTTTAAAAAAATTCAAAAGAACTTTGAGTGAACTTTTAAGAAGTTAAGCAATGTGCCAGATATCTGAAAATGAGTTTTTTTTTTTTTTTTATTAACAGGTTTTACAAACACCTTGGACTAAGTAATTGGTAATATAAGGTAGAGGATTTTATTTAGGTAGTCGCATGAGCTTGGATTTGAGTTCTTAGTATATATTAAATGAATTAAGTTCAGTATCTGAAAGTATTGCCTGAGACTTTCAAATAATTAAAATCATTAATGTCAGTGGAGTCACTCTGTGAGACAGTTTAACATATCAAAAATGGGTTTTTATCTGTCCAGATTACAAAATAGACTGAAAAAAGTCTACAGAGTTTCAAGTGAAGAAATAATTGTTTTTATCTTTGCTTTCTGTCAGAAGGCAGCCAAAACAGCACAGTGTTAATGGAGGAAAGTACTTATCCAGCTTTGGAAGAAACTAAATCAGAGATTGAGGTAAGCTTATATGTACTCTGTGGGTGTATGGTAAGCAGTATTTTTTTAAAGATTTATTTATTTATTTATTTGAAAGGCAGAGTTATGGCAAGACAGAGGCAGGGAGAGAGAGAGGTCTTCCATATGCTGGTTCACTGCCCAAATGGCCGCAACGGCTGGAGCTGCGCTGATCCGAAGCCAGGAGCCAGGAACTTCCTCTGGGTCTCCTACGTGGGGGTGGGGGCCCAGGGACTTGGGCCATCTTCTGATTTCACAGACCATAGCAGAGAGCTGGATCAGAATTAGAGCAGGTGGGACTCGAACTGGCTTCCAAAAGGGATGCTACACAGCAGGCAGTGGCCTCACCCACCACGCCACAGCAGCATTCCCTCTTCCCTCCCTCCTTCCCTTGCATCCATCCATCCTTCCTTCCTTCCTTGATTTATTTATTTCTTTACTTGAAATTCAGAACTATGAAGAGGAAAGATGGATTAATCTTTTTTTTTTTTTTTTAAGATTTATTTATTTACTTGAAAGTCAGAATTACACACAGAGAGAAGGAGAGGCAGAGAGAGAGGTCTTCCATCTGCTGGTTCACTCCCCAGATGGCTGCAACGGCTGGAGCTGCGCCGATCCGAAGCTAGGAGCTTCTTCTGGGTCTCCCACACGGGTGTAGGGACCATCTTCTACTGCTTTCCGAGGCCATAACAGAGAACTGGATCGGAAAAGGAGCAGCCGGGACTCGAATTTGCGCCCACATGGGATGCAGGCACTACAGGTGGTGGCTTTACCCGTTATGCCACAGCGCCAACCCCTTGATTGATCTCTACACTGGTTCACTCCCCAACTGGTCCACTGTCCCGTGCTGAATCAGGTCAAAGCCAGGAGCTTCATCCAGATCTCCTGTGGGTGCAGGGGCCCAAGCACATGGTCAATCTTCTGCTGCTTTCTGGATTGGAAGTGGAGCAGTTCAGGAGTTGAACCAGCACTCATATGGGATCCTGGTGCTGCAGGTGACAGCTTTACCTGGTATGCTGCAGTGCTAGACCGTAAACAGTGTTCTTAGAGAATGCTAATTAATGCCTTCATTTCTAGTTGTGTATTCTTTTTCTGTTTGAATTATAAGCAACTTTTATGGAAGTTTTTAAGATTCTATAGTTTGGTAAGTTTTTGTTATTTTAAAAATTAAAAAAAGTGTTTGAGAAAGTAAGCAAGCTCCAGTCTACTGATTTACTCCCTAAAAGCCCGTAAAAACCAGGACTGAGCTGACCTGAAGTCAGGAATCAGGAAGACCATGAAGGTCCCTCATATGGACACAATAGACCTAGTTAATTGAGCCCTCATCACTGCATCCCAGAGCTTTTATTAGCAGGAAGCTGGAGTTAAGAGCTGCAGCCAGGCATCGAAACCCAGGTACTTCAATATGGGATATGGGCATCATAAATGAAAAATTAACAGTGTTCTAGACTAATCACTTTTTTATTTATTTGAAAGGCAGAGTTACATAGAGAAGGAGAGGCAGAGAGAGAGAGAGAGAGAGAGATATCTTCATCCTCTGGTTCACTCCTTAATTGGCTGCAATGGCTGGGGCTGTGCTGATCTGGTGCCAGGAGCCAGGAGCCTCCTGCAGGTCTCCCACATGGGTGCAGGGGCCCAAGCACTTGGGCCGTCTTCCACTGATTTCCCAGGCCAAAGCAGAGAGCTGTTTTGGAAGTAGAGCAGCTAGAACTTGAACCGGTGTCCATATGGGATGCTGGCACTGCAGGCGATGGCTTTACTTACGATGCCACAGCACTGGCCCCGAGACTAACCACATTTAACGTTAACTTCTTATTTTACTTCTGATTAAGGGAGATGTAGTTTAATTTAGAAAAGTGATTTCCAAAGATTGCTAAAGACTATATTTTTTAAAATTTCTAGAGCAGCTATTTGGGGGGTGAACCAACGGAGGGAAGACCTTTCTGTCTCTCTCTCTCATTAACACTGCCTGTCAAAAAACAAAAAAACAAAAAACTAGAGACTGTGATGTGATCTGTAAAATAATTTTATTTGGAAATAGGTTACCTTCTTGGACTATATTGAAATTCAACTGTTGGGGTTCATATCTAAACTGAAAGTTGATTTTTAAGGTTGAAGATCTGAATATTGTACTTTGGAGTTTTATTTGATGTCTAGATAAAACATAGTGGTTTAGTTCATTGTGCTGCTGTAATAAGATACCCTGGATTTACTGACTTAAAGAAAAATAGTAATTGGACTGGTGCTGTGGAACAGTGTAGTAAGCCTTAGCCTGCAGCTCTGGTATCCCATATGGGCACCGGTTTGGTTATCTGCTGCTCCACTTCTGATCCAGCTTCCTGCTGATGTGCCTGGGAAAACAATGGAAGATGGACCCGGTCCCTGGCAACTGCCACCCACTTGGGAGACCCAGAGGAACATCCTGGCTCCTGGTTTTGGTCTGGCCCAGCCCTGTCATTGTGGCTATTTGGGGAGTGAACCTGTGGATGTAAGATCTCTCTCTCTCTCTCTCTCGTTCTCTTTGTCCATAACACTGCCTTTCAAATAAATAAATAAATAATAAAATAGTCATATCTGTCACTTTTTTGCTTGTATTTCTTTTTTATCTTCTGTAGCAGTAAAGAGATCTGTCACTACCTGCAATGCCAGCATCCCATATTGGAGTGCTATTGGAGTGCTGTTCTGCTTCCAATCCAGCTTCCTGCAAATGTGCCTGGAAAAGCAGTGGATAGTGGCACAAGTCCTTGGGATCCTGCCTACCCAAGTGGGAGACCCAGATGGAATTGTTGGCTTCTGGGACAACCCTGGCTGTTGTGGGCTTTTGAGGAATGAATCAGTCATTGAAAAATCACACTTGTACCCTCCATTACTCTGCCTTTGCGTGGATGAATAAATGAGTGCATGAATAAATAAATACTTAATAACAAAAGTAGAAATTACGCATAGGCATGTAGCCTAGTCCCTGGATTAATTCTCAGCTCTGGCTCCTTAATCTGGCTTCCTGTTAATGCAGACCTTGGGAGGCAGCAGTGATATTCAAGTAGTTGAGAGAACTGGATTGCATTCCCAGCTTCTGTCTTATCCCACGTGTTGTGGGTGTTTGGTGATTGAACCAGCTGATAGGAACTCTCTTCTGGAGGCTGAGAGGTCCACAGTCAAGTCTGTTGTGTGGTTAGGGATGCTTTCTGTCTCATGATGGTGCCTTGTTATGTCATCCTCCAGTGGGATGAAGACCATGTGTTATATGGCAGAAAGGAGTGGCTAAAAAAGGGCCAAATGCTGTGAAGAATGTTGTATAAAGTTCTGCTCAAATTGGTGGGGGAGGAGCCCCGAAGTCCAAACCCTAATGGATTCCACCCCATGGCTCATCCTTTGTTTGCCTTTTGGTGGGTTTGGCTACCTGCAATGAATTGCTGTCTAAAAAATCTAATATTTATCTTGAACTTTTTTAGAAAGCAGCAGAAACCATGTTCACATAAATTTTACATTATAATTGTCCAATTAGTTACTAATCTCTCACTGTGCCTAATTTATAAATTAAGCTTTCATAGGTACAGATGGAGTATAGGAAAAAACATAGTACATATGGACTTTGGCGCTATCTGAGGTGTCAGGCATCCACTGGGGGTCTTGTATCCATTGTGGATAAGGGGTGACTGTTATACCACCACATTGGCTGTTAAGTTCCAATGTGTGGATTTAGGAGGGAACTCATTGAGTTCATAGCACATGACAGCACTGTTGAAATTCATTATATCCATCACAGGAAAAGTTTAACCAGTCTTTTCAGGCTCCTTGACTGCAGAATTATGCTCATATATACCCATTGGACTGATGAGAGAAATGAAGTTCCCCTTCCTGTGAGCATTATGAGCAAAAGTGGTCTTCTCAGGTTGCACAGGCTGACGGGAGGAGGCGATGGTCTATTCTAATTGTGAAACTCGCCAAGTGGTTTGATGCCTTTTTTTTTTAATTTGAGTGGTAGAGTTACAGTGAGAGAGAAAGAAAGCTCTTCCGTCTGTTGGTTCACTCCCCAGATGGCAACAATGGCTGGAGATGGCCATTCTGAAGCCAGGAGCCGGGTGATTCTTCCTGGTCTCCCATGTGGGTGCACAGGCTAAAGCATTTGGGCCAACTTGTACTGCTTTCCCAGGCCACAGCAGAGAGCTGGATTGGAAGAGGAGCAGCCGGGACTAGAACCGGCAGTCATATAGGATGCCCATGCTGTAGGCGGAGGATTAACCTAATGCGCCATGGTGCTGGCCCCTAATGTTGTTCTTTTTTTTTTTTTTTTTTTTGGACAGAGTGGACAGTGAGAGAGAGACAGAGAGAAAGGTCTTCCTTCCTTTGCCGTTGGTTCACCCTCCAATGGCCGCCACGGCTGGCGCGCTGCGGCCGGCACACTGCGCTAATCCGATGGCAGGAGCCAGGTATTTATCCTGGTCTCCCATGGGGTGCAGGGCCCAAGCACTTGGGCCATCCTCCACTGCACTCCCTGGCCACAGCAGAGAGCTGGCCTGGAAGAGGGGCAACTGGGACAGAATCCAGCGCCCTGACTGGGACTAGAACCCAGTGTGCCGGCGCCGCCAAGGCGGAGGATTAGCCTAGTGAGCCGCGGCGCCAGCCTTTTTTTTTTTTTTTTAAGAGTTATTTTATTTATTTGAAAGTCAGAGTTACTGGGAGTAGGGCTGGGGGAGAGAGGAGAGATCTCCCATCAGCTGATTCACTCCACAGTGGCTGCAATGGTTGGGGTTGGGCCAGGCTGAAGCCAGTAGCCAGGAGCTTCATTTGGGTTTCCCAGGTGGTTGCAGGAGCCCAAGCACTTGAGCCATCTTCTGCTTTCCTTGGCACATTCTGATCCAGCTCTCTGGATCGGAAGTGGAGCAGCTGGGACTCGAACCTGCGCCCATATGGGATGCCGACCTGAAGGCAGCAGCTTAACCTGTTGTGCCACAACGCTGGCCCCTGATGCTCTTTTCGATTAAAAGATGAGTCTAGGGGCTGGTGCAATGGCTCAACAGGTTAAGTCACTGCAGGATCAGCATTCAATAAGGGCCTCTCTCTCTCTCTCTCTCTTTCTCTCTCTCTCTCTCTCTCTCTCTCTGCCTCTGCCTCTGCCTCTGCCTCTGCCTTTCAAATAAATAAATAAATCTTAAAAGAGGGCTTGTGTTGTAGTGCAGCAGGTTAAATCCCTGGCCTGCAGGGCGGGTTCGAGTCCTGGCTGCTCTGCTTACAATCTAGCTCTCTGCTATGGCCTGGGAAAGCAGTGGAAGATGGCCCAAGTCCTTGGGCCCCCTGCACCAGCAAATCGAGTCCTAGCTACTCCACTTCTAGTGGGGCTCCCTGCTGTTGTGCCTGGGAAATCAGTGGAGGATGGCCCAAGTGCTTGGGCCCCTGCACCCATGTGGGAGACCTGAAAGAAGCTCCTGGCTCCTGGCTTTGGTCTGGCCCAGTCCTAACTGTTGTGTCCATTTGAGGAGTGAACCTGCGTTTAGAAGATTTCTCACTCGCTTTCTCTCTCTCTTCTCTCTCTCTATAATTTTTACTTTCAAATAAGTCAATAAATATATTTAAAAAAATTTAAACCTAGTGTTGCGTAAGTTGTTATTGTTGGGTAGGAATTGTATATATAAAATTATATATATTAAATACACATATATAAAGCTATATATTAAAATTATTTTGTATTTAAAATTTATGTATAAAATTAGCATAGTATTTAATGCCATTATACATTTTAAACTATAGAAAATACAAGATTCTTAAGTAATTGTTGAATTTATTGTCTCTAAAATTACTACTCTGCAGGCAGAGGAAGAAAAGTTACCTGATGACAATGTCTATTTTGGAACTGCCAGTGATGATTCGGATATTGTTACTCTAGAACCACCTAAGTTAGAAGAAATTGGAATTCAAGAAGCTGTAATTGTTGAAGAAGCACAGAGTCCGGAAGACTTTAATATGGGTTCTTCCTCTAGCAGTCAGTATGCATTCTGTCAGCCGGAAACTGGTAAGAACTATGTAAAGACTGCAATGATAAGACTAAAGACTTTTGTGTTTTATATAATGACTTTTCTAACCCGAAATCTCAAGTTTTTAATATAGGAAGGTACTTCAAATAGTATGTGGAAAATACATTTCTTTTCTTTTCTTTTTTTTTTTTTTTTAAGATGTATTTGAAAGTCAGAGTTACACAGAGAGAGGAGAGGCAGAAAGAGAGAGAGAGAAAGAGAGAGAGAGGTCTTCTAGCCAGTGGTTCACTCCTCAATTGGCTGCAATGACCAGAGCTGTGCCAATCGGAAGCCAGGAGTCAGGAGCTGCTTCCAGGTCTCCCATGTGGGTGCAGGGGCCCAAAAACTTGGGCCATCTTCCACTGCTTTCCCAGGCCATAAGAGAGAGCTGGATGGAAAGTGGAGCAGCCGGGTCTGGAACCGGCGCCCATATGGGATGCCAACACTTCAGGCCAGGGTGTTAACCCACTGGGCCACAGTGCTAGCCTCGCCAAAATTACATTTGTAAAAAAACTATTCTTGGATTTCAAAAATCTTTTGTACTGAAAACAGTTAATCTCCTTTTCCATGAGCTTCTTGAAGTACCTTTATCTGCGTTTGTAAAACTCAGGAAAATCTTTTGTAAGATCTATAATAAATCTGTTGTTTTCCTAGACTCTGTGGCCTAAAATATAGCATTATTTTGCAATTATAGTAAATGCCATCTTTTGGTATTAAATAGAAGGTAAAATTTCTTCAGGGAGATTTGTTGAAATCTCAAACAGTACAAAAAATGGTGTTCTTAAAATGTTTAACCAGAGGAAATTGTGCCATTTATACCTAAAACCAGGAGGATGTTCATATTTTTTGTTATAATACATTTTTTATTACAGAGAAGTAGTGAAAGAACATTTTCATTGTGTTTCTTAGATCCATTCTGTTATTAATCATTTAACAGATTGAGTGCCTACCGATTGGCAAACAGGGTTCTAGGAGCTCTGCACAGTCTTTTTACTTTAGAGTGTATTACAGAACATGCTTTTTTTTTTTTTTTTTTTTTTGACAGGCAGAGTGGACAGTGAGAGAGAGAGAGAGAAAGGTCTTCCTTTTGCCGTTGGTTCACCCTCCAATGGCCGCCGTAGCCGGCACGCTGTGGCTGGCGCACTGCGCTAATCCGATGGCAGGAGCCAGGTGCTTCTCCTGGTCTCCCATGGGGTGCAGGGCCCAAGCACTTGGGCCATCCTCCACTGCACTCCTGGGCCACAGCAGAGAGCTGGCCTGGAAGAAGGGCAACCAGGACAGAATCTGGCGCCCCGACAGGGACTAGAACCTGGGTGCCGGCGCTGCAGGCGGAGGATTAGCCTAGTGAGCCGCGGCACCGGCCTTTTTCTTTTTTTTTTTAAGCTCTATTTATTGGAAAGGCAGATTTGCAGATGGAGAGAGTGAGCTTCCATCCGCTGGTTCACTCCTGAAATGACCTCAACAGCTGAATCTGGGCCAATGCAAAGTCAGGAGCCAGGAACTAGTTCTGGGTCTTCCATGGGGATGCAGTTGCCTAAGCATTTGCTCCATCTTCCACTGCTTTCCTGGGCACATTAGCAGGTTGCTGGCTTGGAAGTGGAAGAGCCAGCTTTATCCGCTGTGCTGGCCCCAGAACGTGCCTGTTTTAAACCACATCCTTAGTGCAGTTAATGCCAGTAGTCTGTACAGAAGCTTTTGGAGGTTAAAATGTATGTTGCTGAGATGATTCACTTTTACTGTTCATAGCTCAATTTCATGAATGTTTATAACATCTTTTGTGGTGACAAAAATATTGATGCATAGAGTTGATTCCTGGAAAATATCATGAGACACAGATCTTTAATGCATAGTTTTTAACCCATTCTTATAACGTACAGATGAATTATGGGAGAGACAACTTGAAACACTGACCATAAAAGAAAGCTCCATAATTGGATGGAAAAACAGGAACATGTAGTATCTATTTCAGATAGTTTTCTTAGATTTTACCGTTCTTTAATATTGGTTTAATGACCAAAATCATAACACGGGAATTTCTGTCATTCCAGTTCAAGCTAAGGAAATTTCAAGCAGAGATTCTTTTTTATCACATCTAATGATGAGTTACTTTTAGATTATCATTAGTTTTCTTGAAAACACTTTTATTTAGTGTATTAGTGGGACTTGAAAACAGACCTTATTCAGCTAATTTTTAAAAAAGATTTATTTATTTTAGAGACAGAGTTAGAGTGAGAGAGAGAGAGGCAGAGAGAGAAAGGTCTTCCATCTGCTGTTTACTCCCCAGATGGCCATAATGGCCGGCACTGGACTGATCCGAAGCCAGGAACCAGTAGCTTCTTCCGAGTCTCCCACATGGGTGCAGGGGCCCAAGCACTTGGGCCTCCTTCCAGTGCTTTCCCAGGCCATTAGCAGGGAGCTGGATCAAAAGTGGAGCAGCTGGGACTTGAACTGATGCCCATGTGGAATAGCAGTGCCACAGGTGCAGGTTTAGCCTACTTTACCACAGCACTGGCCCCCTTATTCAAATATTTAAATATGCATCTAATGTTTTTAGATGTTAGAAGAGAACTTCACCCTTTTCAGAATGGCGTATTTTAAGTACCGATGTCCCTTGGTTTACTCAGGAGGTTGGTTCCAGAATTCCCTTGGATACCACAGATTAAGGATGCTTAAGTCTCTCAAACCTATGCACATCTTTCTGTTTCCTTTATCATCTTCAGATTACTTAATGATTGTAGTATCTAGCATAATATAAATACTATCTGAATAGTTGGCATACTGTATTTTTTGGGCAATAATGATGCAATTTTTGTCAAATTTTTAACGTGGATGAGTGACTGTATATTTATTTATAAGGGCTTTATATAATTGATTTTAGAATCCTTCTTGGTCATCAAATTTTGTAGTTTTTAAACTAGAGGGTTTATGTTGCTTTCAATTGGTCTTTTTTTCATCTTTTTTTTAAATAAAGGTTTATTTTATTTATTTGAAAGACAAATTTACAGAGAGAGGTAGAGCCAGAGAGAGGGAGAGAGAGAAAGGTCTTCCATCCGCTGGTTCATTTCTCAGACTGCAATGACCCCAACTAAGCCAATCTGAAGCCAGAAGCTTCTTCCAGGTTTCCTACACAGGTGCAGGGGCCCAAGGTCTTGGGCCATCTTTTGCTGCTTTCCCAGTCCACAGCAGATCATAAGTGGAACAGCCGGGACTCAAACCAGCGCCCATATGGGATGCTGGCATTGCAGGCCAGGGCTTTAACCTGCTGCACTACAACACTAGCCCTCTTCTTCTTCTTCTTCTTCTTTTTTTTTTTTTTAAGATTTATTTATTTATTTTGACAGGTAGAGTGGATAGTGAGAGAGAGAGACAGAGAGAAAGGTCTTCCTTTTGCCGTTGGTTGGTTCACCCTCCAGTAGCCACCACGGCTGGCGTGCTGCGGCCGGTGCCCCGCGCTGATCCGAAGGCAGGCGCCAGGTGCTTCTCCTGGTCTCCCATGCAGGTGCAGGGGCCCAAGCACTTGGGCCATCCTCCACTGCACTCCCTGGCCACAGCAGAGAGCTGGCCTGGAAGAGGGGCAACCAGGAAAGAATCCGGCGCCCCGACCGTGACTAGAACCCGGTGTGCTGGCGCCCCAAGGTGAAGGATTAGCCTGTTGAGCCGCGGCGCTGGCCTATTTATTTATTTGAAAGGCAGAGTTAGAGAGGCAGAGAGAGAGAGAGAGAGAGTCAGTCAGTCTTCCCACCCACTGATTCATTCCCCAGATGGCTACAACAGCCAAAGGTGGGCTGATCTGAAGCCAGAAGCCAGGAGCTTCTTCCGGGTACCCCACGTGGGTGCAGAATTCCAAGGACTTGAGCTGTCTTCTGCTGCTTTCCCAGGCCACAGCAGAGAGCTGGAATGGAAGTAGAGCTGCTGGGACTTGAACTGGTTCCCACATGGGATGCTGGCACTGCAGGCGGCGGCTTTTCCCAGTACATCACATTGCTTGCCCCATCTTTTTTTTTCTTTCTCCCTTCCTTTGGTTTAATTTGAGGGTATTCATGAGCCAGGAAAGTCAGATTGAAGCAGAAGTCTTGCAGAAGGGTCCTGGTAGACATATAAGAAGCTGGTGTATATATATATAGATATTTAGATATATACATACACATATATATATATATGACCAGAGAGAGGATATATACACTGTTGATGTTTTTCAGGAAGTTGCATGCTTCTGAGTCTGTCATTTTGTTTCCTTTCTAAAGAGACTTTTTGGGAATTTTGCCAACATAAGAGGAATATTTTATAAGTGAATTTTACCCATGAAATAAAATGTTGAAACGTAAGATGACATTTTAAACTATGCTGAAAATGTTTGAGTTGCCCAGAAATCTTTGTTGTCTTTCCCTTACTCCCATTTTTTATTGACTTATGATTTTCATGCTGCTTATTGCTTACTTTGTTTTTTTTCCTTCCCATCTTTATAGAATTATAATTTCAATTTTTTTCCTTTGAATTATATTCTGATGGTAATACTTCTGTTGTTAATTTAGGAACACTGCCTACTTCCTTCATATGACCTCTTCTCTCACAAATGTAACGTTGGTAGCTGTAGAGAAGTTTGTGTTGCGTATGTTTTTAAAAAGGCATGCATATTATTATATTTTAATTTAGCACAGATAACATCTAAGTGATAACTGAAGTGTTTTCAGTGCTTTTTTTCCTTTTATTCTTGATGATGAAGCTTTATGCATCTTCTTTTCCTATTTATTCACAAAAGAAAGGTGGTGGGAGAAGCTGTGGAAGATTCCTGAATGCATAAGGGGATGGGATGATCAACTGAAACACCATGTTCCTAGCCAACTCGCCTCCCAAGGTGGTGTGACTAAATCTGAGCAGCTTCTCTAGAGCAGAGTGTGCCCAGTCACATTTACTATTTACTAAATGCTTTAATGATACCTGTTTTCATCTGTGATACTCTAAAACAGGTGTTCAGAATTGGTCTTATCAAAACTGGCTAAGCTTTTGCATGCCTTTGCATTGCTTGCATCTTGGACTATGGGCCAGAATATGCTTTAAGAGAAGTTTAATAATAAAGATATTTCAGCTATTATATGTTTATGGAAGCATTGCATAAAGTTGTGAACATGTTGATAGGAGTTAGACTGGTTTATTATCATATATAATGAAGACATGTTAATGGAGAATCTTGACAACAAGTTCGTTTTCACATTTACCTATCTTAAGTGTGTTGGAAAGTATGAGTTAAATATTCCGATCATGATCATGAATGCCTTTGTATTGTGTTACGCTTTGTTAAAGTCTCCCTTTCTTTTTCTTTGTCCAAGAAATGTAACCTCACACCTGAGGCGATGACATCTTGGAAAAACTAGTGATCAAGAATGACAAGATACATGATGGGCATAAGGGTCATGAGCAAAAGATCTCTCATTGGAATCTGTACACTAAATATTAGGAACATTTATTCATTGAGTAGAACCTTTTGTCTTGGTGCTTGTTGTGTGAGAGTGATCTGAATCCTCCGTGACCCATTGTTATACACAGTATTGCCTAACCTCAGTCACCAGCTTTCCTGTGGCATGGACAGTGTGGCTTCTGAAAAACTGTTTGCTTTTGGAGCATGATTGTTTGTTGTGGAGCTCTTTGTATAAATTCAAGTCCACATTTCATCCCTACTTTTAGTCTTTTCCTTTTCTTCTAACTGCTTTGTGGAAATTATCTCTCAATGATCTATTCTGTGTGAAGCATAGTTTGCTGATACATGGAACAGTGGTAAGACATTACGCATTTGGAAAGATTTTTCCAGGGACCATACTTCCTGGACTTGAAATTTCTCATGTAATTTTTCTTTCCCCTGTTTGTTTTGTTTTGTTTTTTACCATCCTTTTCATAAAGGAGCAGCACCAGACTAGTACTTAATATTGGACAATGGGACATAGCTATTGTGTCACTTCCTCATGCTGACATATTTACTAGAAGGTAAAATTCATAACCTTCTAGTAAGAGTGGCAGTTGAAGGGAAGGGCTCATCTGACTTCTGGAAACTGTAGTGTTTTTGAACCTTGCTCATGGGCTAATAAGATACAAATGAAACTAGAGACCAGATATACACAAGGATGCTTGTAGTATTTCGAGTCACAGGAACTGCTTGTACACTTTCCTCTGTTACTTAAAGAGTTGAACTTAAGCTACTTTTATTTGAAATTGAATGAAGTGATAGGATTTTGTTTTTCTTGTAGAAATAGTGCTGATTGATGTCTCTGGTATCAGTAAAATTTAATAGGCTACATGCTCTTTTTTTTTTTTTTTTTTTTAACAGTTAGTTATAGACAGAGAGAGACAGAGAGAAAGGTCTTCCTTCTGTTGGTTCATTCCCCTAATGGCCGCTACGGCTGGCGCTCCGCTGATCTGAAGCCAGGAGCTGGGTACTTCTTCCCGGTCTCCCATGTGGGTACAGGGACCCAAGTACTTGGATCATCCTCCGCTGCCCTGCCGGGCCACAGCAGAGAGCTGGACTGGAAGAGGAGCAACCAGGACTAGAACCTGGTACCCATATGGGATGCCGGTGCCGCAGGCAGAGGATTAGCCAAGTGAGCCACAGCGCCAGCCTAATAGGCTACATGTTCTAATAACCACAAGCTACAAGGTGCCGGAAGGTTAAAAAAAGGAGACGGACTCTTAAAGCACAGAGTAATATGAGTAACAGATTCTTTTATATCAGGATTGAGATATTTTCTGTTAATATTTTGAAAGTTTGTGGTTTTGTTTGTGTTATTTTGGCTGTCTCCTGAAGAGGCATGTAGGGATGGCAATAATTATTCTAAATTTCTCTGAAGTTTTTAATACATTAACATCAACATTTTTCTTTTTAAAATAGTATTTTCGTCTCAGCCTAGTGATGATGAGTCGAGTAGTGATGAAACCAGTAATCTGCCCAGTCCTGCCTTTAGACGACGCCGTGCGAGGAAGAAAACTGTTTCTACTTCAGAATCTGAGGAACGGCTCCTTGGTGAACAAGAAACGGAACCTTCTAAGGAGCTGAGTAAACGCCAGTTCAGTAGTGGGCTCAATAAGTGTGTTATACTTGCTTTGGTGATTGCAGTCAGCATGGGATTTGGACATTTCTATGGTAAGCATTTGAAAAAGGTGTTAATACATAAACTAGTGGTAGAATACAGAGGCATTTACTAAGAGGAAGAAATCTGGGATATGTTATCAGTGTCATCATTAAATCTTTTTTAAAGATTTATTTATTTATTTCTTTGAGAGGCCTCAGTGGTAGAGCTAGTCCAATCTGATGACAGGAGCTGCTTCTGGGTCTCCCACGTGAGTGTAGTGGCCAGAGTACGTGGGCCATCTTCCACTGCTTTCCCAGGCCATTAGCAGGGCAGGCGGAAGCTTAATCTGCTATGCCACAGTGCTAGCCCCAATCATCATTAAATTTTGACTTTGAAAACCTTCAACTTATTTGATTGAGCCTTGGTTTTCTCATTTGGAAAAGGGGTTAGTGATCTCTCTGTCACTAAACAGTTTTACTTAACTAATACAGAGTTATTTAAGAAAAATTAAGATTATTAGCATGTATGCTTGTGACTTTAAGTAAAAAGATTAAAAGTCTAACATGTTTATGAGACAAGTCATTTTCATTTAGAGTCACAGGTAAACTAATTTTCACTGTGCATTTTAATAGGATTATTTAGATCCCAGTTAAAATAACTACATTTGAAATGTCCCAGTAATTTGTTCTCATTGTTTCTACTTATTTTACTGCAAGTATCATTTTATGATGCTCCTTACTTCTATGACTCACCTGAATTGAGAATTTTTAGCCTTATACTTTGCTGTTTATTTCGTTTACTAGTGTTTGCATGTTGATTATTTCTTTAATTCAAAGCCTTTAAACTTCCCTTGGGTAAGTCCAGGAAGGAATTCTGTGTGGTGGTAGTTTGCCTTTAGGAGCTTTATGACTAAATTTCTTATTTTAGATAAATGTTTGTACCAAAAGACATGAACATTTGAGAGTTGAGCACTCACAGTTGGCGTTATTGGTATTTGGGTTTATAGGGGATAGTAATGTTTTGAAAAGTAGTGTCTTAGATCTTATCAAATTCACAAACTTTTGTTTACCTTACATTAAGTACTTCTAGATTTTTTTTTGTCTACATAAGCCACAGTTCAACTTTCTGTTTTGTTAGTTCTTCCCACTGGTGAATTCCTTATGCAGTCACTGAAGATTTGCTTATGCTCTATGTTGATTTGTGGAAAAGATACGTTACTCAAAATAAGATAATGTTTATATAATAAATAATAAAATTTTATAGATAATACTTGTTTAGCATAGGAGTTAAATGTCTTCTTACCTTTATATATTATTAAAAATATATGTTTATGGTTCTGATGGATACCTGCTTGAATTTAATACCAACACACCAAAATTTTTATCCTATTTTGAGGTTTATTGTAATGAAGTTTGATTTGAAACATATATATTTAACTTTTTTGGCTAGTTGGAGCAAATGTATGAAACTGTTTTTGAATATGTTTTCCCCCACAGGTAAACATGAAGGTAACAAAGGATATGGTCCTAATTTGTTTTCTCTTACATAAAAAAGATACTGACTTTTAATTTTGATCTAAATTGCATTAAAACTTTACTAGTTGCATGATTTTTAATATTTTATAGAAAGTTCAGTTTAGAGAGGGATACATTGAAAAGTGAGGTTATTTAGGATTTTGGTTACTTATGAAGTCAATCATTGTATTAATCAGTAATTTACTGTATAATTTTTAATAAGAACATAGTTCTAAGTGAATCACTCAAACATTCAGCAGATTTGGCTCCATATAAATTTGGAGTGTCAGATTCATACTGTAGGGAAGAGAAAGCTATGGATAGCAAAACAGTATACTCCAGGTATTTAGCAATGTTTCAAGTTCTGAAAGTGCTTCCAAAATTTATTGAAAATCTTTGTTTATAAAACACTTACTTTCCTTACTCTTACCTTTATTTGTAGACTACACATATTCTAAATTATCAGTGTAGTTCAGTTGCTTTTGTTCTCTGGTTTTTTTTTTTTTTTAAGATTTATTTTATTTATTCAAAAGGCAGGGTGAGTTAGGGAGAGACAGAGACAGATCTTCCATCCACTGGTTCGTTCCCCAGATGGCTGCAATAGCTTGGGCTGGGCCAGGCCAAATACAGGAGCCAGGAGTTTCTTCTGAGTCTACCATGTGGGTAGCGAGAGCCCAAGGACTTGGGCTGTCTTCCATTGCTTTCCCAGGTGCATTAGTAGGGAGTTGGATCAGAAGTGGAGCAACTGGGGCTAAACTGGCATGCGTATGGGATGCCAGCACTGCAGGCAGGGGCGTAAACCTTCTATGCCACAGTGCTGGCTCCACTGTATTTTCTTTCTTTCTTCTTTTCTTTTCTCTTCTTTTTTCTTTTCTTTCTTGCTTGATTTGTTTAATTATTAGAAAGAGTTACACAGAGGGGAGAGGCAGAGAGAGAGAGGTCCTCCATCCGCTGGTCCACTTCCCAGTTGGTGCAAAGGCTGGGGCTCTGCTGATCTGAAGCTAGGAGCCAGGAGCCTCCTCCAGTTCTCCCATGCAGGTGCAGAGACTCAAGGACTTGGGCATTCTTCTACTGCTTTCTCAGGTCATAGCAGAGAGCTGGATCAGAAATGGAGAAGGGACTTGAACCAGCGCCCATATGGGATGCTGGCACTGCAGGCGGCGGCTTAACCTGCTACACCACAGTGCCGGCCCCTGCTATGTTTTCTTATGGGCTTCCATTCAAGTGTTGAAAGGCTGCCTGGCTCTTCAGCAGACAGTAACAGAATATAATTAGGTCCTAAATTATATAGCAGAGATGGATTGTAGCTCAAAGGATACACTTACTGAGTCAGTCTGGAAGTGGTAATATTTAAGGCAGAAGGGAGGTGGAATATTCTAGCAATGGAGAAACTGATAACCTCGGAAAGAAGTAAACTTAGTATGTGAGGGAGCAATGATGAGACTGCCTGGACTGCAGCAGAATAGGTTTTTAGAAATGTTGGACCAGAGGGATGTTAATACTGAAAAACATTCTGGAATCTGGGCAGGAGAGTTTGATTTCTTGAGCAACCCTGATAGCAATATAATTTTAGGGGGAAAAAGTGCAGGAAGGTGAGTGATATGGAACAAACTGGAACAGCTATAAGGTTTGTAAACCATATATTTGGTGATGAAGGTCTTGAGAATTCTGTTGACAATGGGATCCACAGAATGCTGGTAAAATAAGGAATACTAATGGAATATAAACCGGGACTTGGTGTCTGAATACTTTAGGACATTGGAAGTTTATCAGATTCGAGCAACTGTGCTAGCTGCTTCACTTGTGGAATTGGGAATAGTCTTCCATCTGCTGGTTCACTCCCCAAATGATTGCAACAGCCAGGGCTGGGCCAAGCTGAAGCCAGGAGCTTCATTTGGGTCTCACGTGGGTGCAGGGGTCCAAGGACTTGGGCCATTTTTCACTGCTTTCCTAGTCGTGTTAGTTGGGAGCAGGATCGAAGTGGAGCAGCGGTTGAAGCTGCCATCCCATGTGGGTGCAGGTTCAAGTCTTGGCTGTTCCACTTTGATCCAGCTTCCAGCAAGTGGCCTGGGAAAAGCAGCAGATTATGGCCCAAGTGTTTGGGTCCCTGAACCTACATGGGAGACGCTGAAGAAGCTCCAGGCTCCTGGGCTTTAGGGTGGCCCAGTCCTGGGTGTTGCAGCCGTTTGGGAAGTGAACCAGCAGATGGAAGATTCTCATCTCCATTTCTCCCTTTCTATCTGAGTAACTTTCAAATAAATAAAATAAATCTTAAATCTAATAGTTGTAAGATGGCAAAAGTTTGCTCTTTAGTGTTTTTGATGATAATACTAAGAAATTAAAGGATTAGCAGTAAAGGAAGGAATAAGTGTAAGCTTTTGTTTAGAATCTGTGATGTCTATACATAATGGTATCCCCACAAATTTGGTGTAATATTAACATTGCCATGCATTTTGCTTTATTTTTAGTGTATTTTCCTTTCATGCATGAAGCATGTGACAGCATGTGAACAGCATGTGTTCACAAAGTAACATTTTGATTTTAAATAAAAATATACAAAAAATCCTAGTTGGTTTAAATTTATATACCACTGGATAGGGATGGTGGTTCTATAGTTCAGTGCTAACCTGCAGAATTCTTAAAGGTTAAATTGGCTTTGAGAATAGTGGGAAACTGGTTAACCTACTATTTTCTGTGCCATACTTTCTGGGCTCCTGTTGTATCCTTTAGGCAAAACACAAGCAAACAAAGACGGTTATTTTTTCTGTAAACTGTGGAAAAATACCATGCTTTGTTCTTCTGTTTTTAAGGGAGGTTGAAACAGTAACCTTTAAAGATCCCCTTAAAATAACAAAACTGAGTGCCTGGAGGAACATAACTTGTTCTCTGTGTTACAGTGTAGACTGGCTTGGTTTTTTTTTTTTTTAATTTTTAAAAAATTTTTGACAGAGTGGACAATGAGAGAGAGAGACAGAGAGAAAGGTCTTCCTTTTCTGTTGGTTCGCCCCCCCAAATGGCTGCTATGGGTGGCGCGCTGCGCTGATCCGAAGCCAGGAGCCAGGTGCTTCTCCTGGTCTCCCGTGCGGGTGCAGGGCCCAAGGACTTGGGCCATCCTCCACTGCCTTCCCAGGCCACAGCAGAGAGCTGGACTAGAAGAGGAGCAACTTGAGAGTCAGAGTTACACATAAAGAGGAGAGGCAGAGAGAGAGAGAGAGAGAGAGAGGAGAGGAGAGAGGAGAGAGGAGAGAGGAGAGAGAACTGCGCTGATCAGGAGCCAGGAGCTTCTTCTGGGTCTCCCACGTGGGTGCAGGGGCCCAAGGACTTGGGCCATCTTGTACTGCTATCTCAGGCCATAACAGAGAGCTGGATCGGAAGTGGAGCAGCCGGGACTAGAACCAGCGCCCATATGAGATGCCAGCGCTTCAGGCCAGTGCTTTACCTGCTGCACCACAGCGCCGGTCCCCAGCTTATTTGTTTTAATTAGGATGGTGAGCTGCTTAAATATTCCTGAGAATATGTTAATTATAAAATTAACCCCCTTGGCCTGGTTTATATTATGTTTAATATCCATCACCATTTGGTGAATGACACTGTGAGTTTTCACTGAATCTTTGTTTATATAAAAGGAATTATTTTTTTTTAAACTTATTTTCATTTTATTTGAAAGGTAGACAGAGACAAGACAAATGGAAATCTTCCTTTCATTGGTTTACTCCCCAAATGTTCACAATAGCTAGTGTTGGGCTAGGCTGAAGCCAGGTGCCTAGGAACCCACTCTAGGTCTCTCATGTGGGTGACAGGACCCAGTGTGGGTCTCTCATGTGGGTGACAGGGACCACAGACCCAAGCCATTATCTGCTATCTTCCATGATGCACGTTAGCAGGAGGCTGGAATTGGAGGTGGAGCTGGAATTTGAACTCAGGCACTTAGATATGGGATGTGGAGATATCCCAAGAGGCATCTTAACCACTGTATCAAAACCCCCAGAATTTTTAAAGATATGTGAAATGCAGATATTTTGAGAAAATGATCCAGGGCTTGTGTTGTGTTGTAGTGGGTTTAGCTGCCACCTTGGACCCTGGCATCCTAGATGGGTGCTGGTTCAAGTGCCAGCTGCTCCACTTCCATCTGAGCTCCCTGTTAATGTGCCTGGGAAAGCAGCGGAAGATGACTTGAATGCTCGGGCCATGGCCATTCACATGGGAGACCAGGAGGACTCCATGCTTCTGGCTTCCGTGGCCCACCCTGGCCATTGCAGCCTCCTGCTCCCTCTTTCTGTCCCCCTCTCTCTCTCCCCCTCTGTCTCTGTCCCTCTCTGTCCCTTCCTGTCAGTCTTTTCAAATAAATGAACTTTTTAATAAAAAGATCCTTTCCAGATTCTGTAAATTATATGAGGATTACATTTATATGTATAATTACTATAATCATGTTATTTTATATGCCCCTTATAAAAATTTTTATTTTAGGCACAATTCAAATTCAGAAGCGTCAGCAGTTAGTCAGGAAGATACATGAAGATGAATTGAATGATATGAAGGATTATCTTTCCCAGTGTCAACAGGAACAAGATTCTTTTATAGATTATAAGGTGTGTATTACTAGAAAATATTAAAAATTATTGTTAGCCATTAATTGTACTATGTATATGCTATAAAGATTAGAAAATCAGCAATAATGTTGAAATTTATTGAGTGCTTACTGTGTCCCAGTCACTGTCATGGAGTTCATCATATATAGTATTTCTCATGGCAGCTCTTGAATTAATTAGCTTCATTTGCTATTTGAGAAAGAAGTCAGAAAAGCAAGTTTCCCAAAGACTAACTGGCAGAATTAATCTGTTGCCAGATATCTGACTTAAAGATCTTTTTCCTAACTGCTATATAAATTGTTATTTGACAGATAATTATGTATGGTGGCAAGTTCTGAGAAGCATCATTGTGCAAACAGCACAAGAATTTACTTAAACTAAGACAGCTACCACATCAGTGGGTGATAATCTTATGCGGCTGTGGTCCATGTTGACTAGAATGTTTAACTGTGCATACGTGCACACACAAACACACCTATGTCCATGAGTTTATACACACATATTATACATTATTAACATCTTCATAGTGTTAAGTAAAATGTTTTCAGTCAGTACAAGGGGAAGAAGAGAGCTGTGGTTTTATAGTCTTCCCGTGATCTCCCCTTAATTAGGGGAAATAAACAGTTATTTTAATTGGTTTCTTGTTAGTTTTGGTAGAAGAGAGCATATTAGGATTGCCTCCCTAAAACTAAGCTGGCTCTAGTGGAGCTGTATTATCCATTATGTTCACTTACACCTTTGTGGGTTTATGAAGACCAACAAAATAGATGGCTTCCTATCTACTTCTTCCCCAGGAAGGATGTAGAAATTATAGATGAACTCTAGGTAGGAAAGTAAACTGTTTCTCCCTTTCATTATTCTAAATGTTCACAAATTTGTATATGTATCCCTAATAGGATTGTGAGTATATTCAACAAAATCAGGTCAGTCTAGGATTTAAATTGTAAAATTCTAATAAGCCTGATTGAACATGATTTCTGTCAGTGATGCTGTTTTCAGAGACAGATTAACCTGTGTTGGTTACAGTTTGTATAATCTGAGTTGTACTTACTTTAGAAGTTTACTTGAAATTGGGGAAATTACTTATAAATATTGCTAAGATTCAGTCTGTCTCCTATTACATTCTTATAGAATTTATGACATCTGTATTTATAGTACCTAGAAATGTTAATTTGTACAAGACCCCAAAGTCTGAATTAAGACTAAGATTTTGAAGTTTCTTCTTTCAAAAGCTTCACTACTAATAGAATTTTTGGAAGGCTGAAGTCAGTTCTAGATAAAATTTTACTTTCTTTTTTTTTTTTTCAAAGATTTCTTTTATTTGAAAGACAGTTATGGGGGGGGGGAGAGGAGGAGAGGGAGAGAGAGAGGGAGGTCTTCCATTGCTGATTCACTCCCCAAAAGGCTGCAACAGTTGGAGGTGAGCTGATCTGAAGCCAGGAGCCATGAGTTTCATCTGGGTCTCCCACATGGGTGCAGGGGCCCAAGCACTTGGGCCATATTTTGCTGCTTTCCAGGCCATTAGCAGGGAGCTGGATCAGAAGTGGAGCAGCTTGGACTCGAATCGGTGCCCATGTGGGAAGTGGGCACTGCAAGCCAGGGCTTTAACACGCTGTGCCACCGTGCTAGCCCCCTTTTTTTCCCCAATGATTTATTTATTTAAAAGCCTAGTTAAACAGAGAGAAAAGGAGAAACAGATTTTCTGTCCACTGGTTCACTCCTTACGTGGTCACAACAGCTGGGGCTGGGCCAGGCCAAAGGCAGGGTTGGGTTGGGGGCTTTATCCCCACATGGGTAGCAGGGACCCAAGCACTGGAACCATCTTCTGCTGTTTTCCGAGGCCATTAGCAGGGAACTAGTGGAGCAGTGTGGGGCTTGAATCACAGTGCCTATGTGGAATGCCAGTGTCCCTAATCCACTGTGCTGCAACACTGGCCTCTACATTTTTCGTTTCTATAGGAGATAATCTCCCTCACTGAGGCGTCAGAGAAGTCCTGCCTGAATTCTCTGGGAACCTTTTCAGGAGAGAGTACTGTAGCCAAAAGACACAAGGGCTATTCCCAGTTTTCCTAATTTATAAATGTGCTCAGAAGTTAGTAAAAGTTTATTCAATTACAGGAAATGCTAATCAAAAGAACCTTTGGCTCCATTAAAAAAAATCCTATTAGGGACAAACTCAGTTCTATCTAGCTAACTTTTCTGTGTCTTTAAATCTACACTATGTTGTTGTCCTTAAGTTGCTATAACTGCATTTTCTTGTATGAACCTTCTATTTTTCAGTTTTTATACTACTGAAAATACAACCCAGGAGGCAGTATCTATAGACATAAAGACTGTAAAGTTTATAGGGTGTTAAAGCTTAAAGATTTAGGTTCTGCTTTTAAAGCATTTGACATTTTGCTTCTCTTTCAAAAATGTAGTCACTGAAAGAAAACCTTGCGAGGTGCTGGACCCACACTGAAGCAGAGAAGATGTCTTTCGAAACTGAGAAAAAGAACCTTGCTACAGAAAATCAGTATTTAAGAATGTCTCTAGAGAAGGAAGAAAAGGCCTTATCTTCATTACAGGAAGAATTGAGGAAACTAAGAGAACAGATAAGAATGTTGGAAGATGAAGGGGCAAGTACTGAATTAGTTACAGAAAATCAGAAACTTAAGGAGATTTTGGAAGATGAAAAGCAAAAAACACAGAGCTTTCTGAAACAAAAGGAGACTGTGTTGGCAGAAGCAAAGATGCTAAAGAGGGAACTGGCAAAAGAACGAATGATCAGCATGGCTTTAAGGGAAGAACTCCAGCAGTTAAGTTCTAGTCAGTCTCAGGGCAACTCAGATTCCCCCAATGTTCTGACTGAAAAGAAGGAAGTAGCAGTCTTAAGGGAAAGACTCACTGAGCTGGAGCAGAAGTTAAACTTTGAACAGCAGCGTTCTGATTTGTGGGAAAGACTGTATGTTGAGGCGAAAGATCAAACTGGAAAACAAGAAACTGAGGGAAAAAAGAAAGGAGGAAGGGGAAACCACAGGGCTAAAAATAAGTCAAAGGAGACATTTTTGGGTTCAGTTAAGGAAACTTTTGATGCCATGAAGAATTCTACCAAGGAGTTTGTGAGGCATCATAAAGAAAAAATTAAGCAGGCAAAAGAAGCCGTGAAAGAAAATCTGAAAAAGTTCTCAGACTCAGTTAAGTCCACTTTCCGACATTTTAAAGATACCACCAAGAATATCTTTGATGAAAAGGGTAATAAAAGATTTGGTTCAACAAAAGAAGCCGCAGCTGAAAAACCAAGAACAGTTTTTAATGACTATTTACATCCACAGTACAAGGCACCTACACCGAATCAGAATAGTCGAGGCCCTTCTATGCGAAGAGATGGAGGGAAAGAAAAGCCAATTCACTTTGAAGACTTTAGAAAAAATACAAATTCACAGAAATGCAGTGCCAGTCATAACTGTAGGGAAAATCATTCTTTCAGAAAGGCTTGTTCTAGTGTGTTTGAATGTGCTCAAGAAGAATCCATTAACCCTTTCAACATAGTGGCGAATCCTGTAAGGATAGATGAATTTAGACAGTTAATTGAAAGGTACTTAATAAAAGAGCTGGATGCTTTTCATCACTGGAAAGAACTCGATCAGTTCCTCAATAAGTTTTTCCTAAATGGTGTCTTTATTCATGATCAGAAGCTCTTCACTGACTTTGTTAATGATGTTAAAGACTATCTTAAAGACATGAAGGAATACCAAGTAGATAATGAAGGAGTATTTGAGAAGCTGGACGGATATATATATAGACACTTCTTTGGTCACACTTTTCCCCCTCCATATGGACCCAGGTCGGTTTACATAAAACCATGTTATTACAATAGTTTCTAACATTTGTAGATTGAATAATATTTTTATCATTTGATGGTTCTCTTAGAAAATTACTATTTGTAAAAGATATATATACTTTATTGCCACAGAAAATTGAGAATATTAACAGTCTTAAATTACAGCTATTAAAACTGAAAATTCATATAATACAATCAGTTTAACTTGAGCAATGACTTCATTTCTACCTTAAATATCTATTCAGGATAAGTAAATTTATTTTGGCCTCTTTTTGGCTTTTTCCCAGGGCAGTTTATATAAAATGATAATCATCATAAGTAAAATTACTTTCTTCTGATTTTTTATTTACTCACCTGAAGAAGCTAGCAGAGAAAAATAAATTTTACTCTGAAATCAGAAGAGCTCATATATAACAAATGCCCCACCTATTTTATCCATCTCATAGACCTGTTTAATTATGGTACTTAATACTTACTACAGAATTTGTTAAAAGTACAGGCATGATCAAAGAGGCAAACTCTGCAAGCCAGAAGTTCTGTGTGCTTCCTATTAACGTTCTATCCATTCTTTATCAGCTTTATTTTCTGTAACTTGAAGCTTACCTAATCTTCAAATGTTAGTTTTACTTTCTTCCTTTGAGATGCTTATATATATTTCTGAATAAATGTGTCTATAAAATAATGAGACTGATTCTGGTGTCTTTAGTTAAGAAACAGATTATACTGCTATACTGAGCAGAGTGTTGTGAGGCTGCTTTGCAGGAAACAAATGAAAAATTCTTGCTGCAAAGGAGCTCACAAGCTAGGTAAATGTAAGAAATGAAAGTATGGAGGCATACATACATTGGCCTCAGGCTGTCTGGATATGCCTGGGAAGGCTTCATATGTAAGGTAGACTTTGAACTGAAATTTAAAAATAACTTTTTTAGAGATTATTTATTTGAATGGCAGAGTTAAAGAAAAAGGGAGAGACACACACAGAGATCTTCCATCTGCTGGTTCACTCCCCAAAAGGCCACAATGACCAGGCTAGGCCAAGTTGAAGCTAGGAGCCAGGAACTATGTACAGGTTTCCCATGTGGGTGGCAGAGGCCCAGGTACTTGCAGGCCATCTTCTACTGCTTTCCCAGGCATGTTAGCAGGAAGCTGAATCAGAAGCGAAGCAGCTGGGACTCAGCTGGCACTCTTAGAGGATGCTGGCATTGTAGGCAGAGCAGCTTAACCTGCTGTGCCACAATGCTGAATATAGAACTAAATTTGTTTTTTAAACTAGCTTTTGAAAGGTAAATGAGAATTTGCCACACATATAGGGAAGGACATTTGATGACTGAAATGTAAGAAATACTACTTTAAGGAAGCAGGGTAATGCTGGGAGATGAATTTAAAACACATTCAGGGTCCAGCGCCATGGCTCACTTAGCTAATCCTCCGCCTGCGGCACTGGAATCCCATATGGGCACTGGGTTCTAGTCCTGGTTGCTCCTCTTCCAGTCCAGCTCTCTGCTGTGGCCCAGGAAGGCAGTGGAGGATGGCTCAAGTGCTTGGGCGCCTGCACCCGCATGGGAGACCAGGAGGAAGCACCTGGCTCCTGGCTCAGATCGGTGTAGCTCCGGCCATAGTGGCCATTTGGGGGTGAACCAACAGAAGGAAGACCTTTTTCTCTCTCTCCCTCTCACTGTCTGTAACTCTACCTGTCAAATAAATTAAAAAAAAAAAAAACACAAAACACACTCAGGTCATGTCAGTCCTCATGGTGAAGGATGTTCCTATAGGAAATGAAGAACCTTTGAATAGTTTTAAGTGGGGTGGGATAAGATTGTATCACAGTTGAGATGGCTGGCAGCATCCTGGAGGACTGAGTGGAAAGAGCAAAGAACGTGGTCGATACAATATGGACATGAGCTGATAGACCTGAACTGAGACGGTAGTAGGAGTGCACAGAAGACAAAACTCGAACAGTAGTTAGGGAAGTAGGAGATAACACCGCCTTCCAGATCTCTGAGTTGGGCTGTTGGATAGTGCTGTCACTGAGGGAATGTCAGTAAGGTTTCGGACAACGGGAACTGGAGATGATTGTATTTGAGAATTTGTATTGACATTCAAGCCCAGACTCTGCAGGTGTGTAGGCAGTCTAGACTGGAGGTATTTATCAGACTCTTGGGGAAAACTAACTTCTATGGGGTTGATGAGAAGGACAAGCCTGGAAAGTGGTATGAAAATCTAAACATCTTAAGGTAAAGGAGTAGTCAAAAGTATCACGGTTAAAGAGCTGAGGACTGAAAATGTCTCTTGGTTTGGGAATTGGGCTGTGAATGGCAGTGTGGACTTTCCAGTGAAGTGACAGAAGCCTGATTATAGAGACTAAGAAAAGCAGTTTAGACCTTGTGAACTTCTGCTATAAGAGGGATGACTGTTTTGGTTGCTTTGAAAGGGATGTGTACAAGCAGGGAAAAGGTAAATGGGGAGGGACTGATTTCTGCAGGAAAGGTGGAAAAATAATGGACCACATCTCATTATTTTATTGTCACATTTCTGTTGTTTGGTACCTGCTGTGTCACCTTTGCCAGCAGTTACATTTCTTTTTCTTTACAAAGGATTAGCAAAAGTAGAATATTCACTAAATCCTTTTTTGTTTGGGTGGGGCTAAACTAGGATTATATTTCAAATTAACATCTTTTTTCAGAGTGTTCAGGTACTAGATTAATGGAGAAAAACGTTAAAATTGTTTTCAATTTAAATACACTGAACTCTAACATGGATGAAAAATGTGTTTACTGCTTTCAGTCGACCTGATAAAAAGCAACGTATGGTAAATATTGAAAACTCGAGGCATCGAAAACAAGAGCAGAAGCACCTTCAACCACAGCCTTATAAAAGGGAAGGTAAATGGCATAAATACGGTCGAACTAATGGACGACAGATGGCAAATCTTGAAATAGAATTGGGGCAATTACCTTTTGATCCTAAATATTGAAGCATGGATGCTTTCTACAGTGGTGTTAAAACTAAGATCAAATTAGTGAAGATGACAATGCCCCCCCCCCCCCATTTCTAAGTATCAGTTAAATGGCTTTATATTACTCATAAGCATCAGTCAGAAGCTTACTAACCTGCATTTCCTGTAGTTTAGCTTTGTTGAATTTTTTTTTAAGGGCACTGGAGATGTTCAGTTGTAGTCTTATTCAGGAAGCAGGCATGCAACAGATTTTGTGCATGAAATGAGACTTGCACAGTGTATTAGCTTAAAGCAAGCTCAAATCGTACATGACAAAGTGTAACTGACACTGATGTTTGTATTAAGTTTGCAGTAGAGCTTGAAAAAGTACATTGTGATGGAAATTCATCTTTAACAGTTTATAATCTCACACTTGCTTCTTGTCTTTTGTGGGTTCAAGAGCCCGTTGACTTATGAAGAATTTGCTGCCCTTTTATGAGCTTGCTGACTTGTTCTCTTGTGAAATTTCTTGCACATCTGAATATTGTGGAGGAAACAATAAAACCACACCATGAGGAAAACTAAAGGTCTTTATTTAAAATCTGGCATTGTATTAATATGTGATTTTATACTTTGTGATATTTTACATATTTCCTCAGTAGTTGCTATTTGGTAAAAAAGTGGTTCATGGTAGGCTCTACCTCCCCCCTCCCCCCTCCCCCCTCCCCAAACAAAGCTTACCCAGTGTTTACTAAAGTGCTCTCAGCAGTGTCAGTTTCTGTGGGAAAGATCTAAATACAATTCAAGAGTTTCATCTTCTGTTGAGTTTCCCTTTTGATTTTCGTTCATAGACATAGATGTGACTTCCAGTTCGACCCTCCGGCAAGTGAGTGTGGAAGAAAACAGCAGTTCTCTCATAATTACTTGAAATTAGGAAAGCACTTATTTCCTAAAAATAAAAGTTTAAGTAAATAAAGGCTGCATTTTGCTGAGTATTGTTTCAAATAATTTTAAATTTGCCTATATTAATAGCTATACTACACCTTTTTTCTTCATTTCTTTATGAGAGGTATAAACTTATGGTAAACAACTTACCTTAGTAGTTAAAGAACTAGGGCTAATTTTGACTTGGAAAAGAAATACAGGAATTAAAAAGGATCATAAAAGAGATTATGTTTGCTAAATTTAAGCTGAAATACACATACTGGGTTTTTCTCTTTTTCATGTTTACTTACCTCCTCCAAAACACTGAAGATGATCAAGTGAGTGGGTAATGATGCATCATCATTAAACTCTTTATGTAACCATTTTAAGGGATTTAAGTAAAATATATCTGCTTCATCAAGATAATGACTTTTTCCAGATAGGTCTGGGGGGCACTGGAGGAATCTCATTGCAAGTGGGCAGTGGACATGGCTAAAGACAGAAAAGTTAAAATAACAGTTGTAAGAAACACAAAAAATAAGAAAGCTTTCATATTAAGATAATCCTGTTAACTATTACAGTGCAGTGTGAAAGGGTGACTGTCAGCTTGTATTCCAGTGCAGGTGAGGAAGCACGGCTTTCATGCACTTCTCAAAGTTGAGAGTGTGAGTCTAACATGTACCTGTGCAGCAGCACAGCACTCTGTTTCCAGGAGGGAAGTCGCTCAGCTAACTAACATTAGTTAGTGACACTGTTGGGCTCTTCCAGAAACAAAGTGTGGTATTTGGGCACAGGTGGGTTAACTAGGTAATGGAAGAGCAATTCTTTGTAGGCCAATTGGACAAAGTACAAAACTTGTCAGAAACAAAAAAGGACTCTTGCTCTTCTCCCTTTCTTCTTTTAAAGGGAGCAGATATGACAAAAGTTCCTATTTTATATATGTATGTAAGACGATTAGAGCAAGAAATAGTTCAGTGATTAACATCCCAGTGATGATTTTGTTGTGGCACAAAGACTAGAATCTAAAAAGATGGATTCATCTGTAGCAACAATCATGACAATGTAAGTCAGTTACTTGGGCCACGCAAAAGCTGTTCATAACTGCCTCAGAAAAACTGAATGTCACTTGATTTAAAATGTCCATTTAGAAATAAACTTAAATACTGTTTATTTATACAAGACTTCATACTTCATGACTTGCATAATTTTCAAGATAAATGTCTTTGTTTCAAAGTGGAAGCAGAAATTCCTCAGAAAAATCTGCCAGTCTTATATTCTAGAAGGGATGCCACCTTTTTCCTGAATTGTGTGTTCTGAAAAAGTCTAAGATGAGAACTTGGTGAACTATACAGGGCCCAAAGCCCATGCAGGGAAAACATCTTAGCACCTTCGGATTCCTGTTCTCTGCAGAGAACAGGAGGGAATGTGAATGTCCCACTATGAGCCCTATTTTTTAAAAAGTACAGTAGGGAATTTTCAAACTGAAGGGATACTTGAGGTCTTCCTCATAGCTAGGCAATCCAGTTTCTACATTATGTATTAATGATTACCATTAATGATTCAGTTAAATAGAGAATTTAAAAAGCTTTAAATTCCCCTAAAATGGGGGGCCAGCGCTGTGGCTCACTTGGTTAATCCTTCACCTGCAGCGCTGGCATCCCATATGGGTGCCGGAACAGCATTTTACATTTCCCAGAACTGTTAATTTAAGCATTACAGTATCATCTAGTTGCCTTTACTGATTTCTTCAGTTGAGAAAGCTGATGTCCAAAGTGATTAAAAGACTTAAGCTAGGACAGACATTCAGTAGTAACTAATAGACTGGAATCCAGTGTTCTGAGGTTAATTCAAAATTGTGTAAGTAAATTGATGTATCATAAAGATTGGCAGTAAGATCAGTAGTGATTGAATTTCTGAAAAATACCTACAAAATGTTTTACACCAACTTAAATCAGACTTAAGTGCAAGTTATTTAAGATCTTTAAAATACTAAAGTGTATTTAAAACTGATATACTTTTCACTGACAGTTCAAATGGTTTTTAAAATCCATCAGTGAATAGTATGAGTGGGTATTTAAAATTTCTTACCACTTACTTGACTGATGATCAGTTAGTTTAAATCCGTAAGTCTGGAAGAGAATTTTAAAGTAGTTTGATTTCCTTAGTAGCTTATACTAGAACAACTTTTATTACCTGTAATAAGGAGTAGAGTGGCAAGGCATCATTACAAACACTGAAGCTGAAGATTTATTGGCATTGTTGTGACAGATGTTTTGAATATAACTCATGACATCAAGAGTACCTCGTTGATGAACTAAACCAGTATAGAGGGCGAGGAGTATATTTGATAGAAACAGGAAACTTAGAGCTGGTTTCTTCCACATTTTCAGGTGGGTTAGAGAGTATCCTATATGAAGATAGGCACATTGAACCATAAGGCTGTAAATCTTTTGTTAACTGTAAATATATTTATACTTTTTCATGGAAACAACATGCTATTGTACTGTCACGGACAAGTAAGAAAAAAGCAAAAATCATGATTTTCCTACTTGCTACCAGTGCATTGACCTGCTTTTCTAGTAAAAAGGCTTTAGGGTATAGAAGGGAAAATCAGAGCTATGAAATTCATAGATCCAGATTTGAATTTCAGGTCTGGCACAAATTGTTTTACTTTGCTAAACCCTGGGATAAAGTGTTATGTTTCCGCTATTAGAAAAAAAAGTCCAGTGCATGTCCTGAAACATAGTAGTTGCTAATTAAATAGGACTTCTAATTCCATGTTCTTTCCTATTTTATCTCAGAAACACTAGCAATCAACATTTCACTGTGTAATAAGCTCTCAGTAATATGTCCTCTGGAAATGTGCTGTTGGGTTCCTGGGAGGTTCCAATGGTCAGTGTATGAATGGAAATAGACATCTTTTCTGGAAGACAGGAATTAATATCCTTTTATTTTCTTTTACTGTGTTATTGAGTGATCTAGAAAGGCTCAGTGATTTTTCCTTTTTCCTTTGAAATTTTTCTATGGCAAAAGCAAAAACAAGTAGAATAAGAAACAGAGGATATTAAAAAGTCCCTCTTCCTCTTATTTTCTTGCTCCCCAGCCACCAATAGAATGGTCTGAAAATACTGAAGATCAGGCCTTGTACTGGAAAAGAGTAAGCTTATTAGTTAGCTTCCTTGGCATTTTGTTCATAGATTACATATGCTGTTTCATGCAGAACTAGAGAATAGTTCTTTTGGAGCATGGGTATCCAGCATTCAAACCATAGTCTACCTAAAATTTTACACTAATCACTAGAGCGAAGGCAGTATTTTCCACTTTGTTCTTCTATGAATATTTTAAATGATATGACCCTCAGTTCATATAATTCAGGAGTTGGAATGTCACTGTTCTTCTACATGAGACAGCTTTAATTAATCAAACTGATGTGATGAAAAATGTAGCCACATTAAAGAAACCAAGCCTATCATTTAGAACTTAAATCTATACCTATATTTTAAAATTGTACCATGAGGAACCTAGTAAAGAGGATGAGATGAGAACTAAATTAGCTTTATTAGAAACAGGATTTCAAAAGTTTAGCCATCTGTAATAAAAAAAACTCCACTCATAAACAGGCCAGCAAATACAACTTTTTAACCACTTAGCTTGATAGGCAAGAACGAAAGCTACCTTAGTGGGTTCCAATTACTAAAAGCTTTGGTAAAGCCTATCCTTGCAACGTCCTGAAGGTGATGAGCTCTCTGGAATATTTGCCCAAGTATCAAGTGCCCACACATACACTGCCCATTACAGTTTTTTCATTCATGAAATGTTCTCTGGGAAAACTCGGCAACTGTGATATTAGGGATACAACAGTAAGCATGAGTGAAACGAAGTGGGAATACATGGTGGTGAATGTTAAAAAAATGGCACTCTGTGTAGAATGCTAGAAGACACCAGGCATGAAGACACCAGGTATGATGTTTGTGTCACCTTTGGTACCTGGGGGTCTGGTGTGGGAGGTCTCTAAAATAGGTAATGCTTACTTTTACCTGGTGGTATTTTCACTTTTTGAAGCTAGCTCATTTTTAGGAATGGTCATTTTAGGATTATTCTGTATTCAAAGAAATATTCTAAAGAAAATGCTGGGGGCTGGCGCCGCGGCTCACTAGGCTAATCCTCTGCCTTGCGGCCCCGGCACACTGGGTTCTAGTCCCGGTCGGGGCACCGGATTCTGTCCCGGTTGCCCCTCTTCCAGACCAGCCCTCTGCTGTGGCCAGGGAGTGCAGTGGAGGATGGCCCAAGTGCTTGGGCCCTGCACCCCATGGGAGACCAGGAGAAGCACCTGGCTCCTGCCTTCGGATAGGCGCGGTGCGCTGGCAGCAGCGGCCATTGGAGGGTGTACCAACAGCAAAAGGAAGACCTTTCTCTCTCTCTCACTCTCTCTCACTGTCCACTCTGCCTGTTAAAAAAAAAAAAAAAAGTGCTGGGAAGTGAGGGAACAGTTTAACACTGCCTAAGGAGAGTCACATAATAGCTTAGTTTCCTAAACATCTGACATTCAAAATAGGTCTCTCCAACATAAGGAGTCAAGTGAGCTTTTCTGGGATATTCTGGGAGCATAATTATATTTCTCATTATTGGTTTAATACAGAGGATTCCAAGTTTAACTTACAAGAAAGACTTTATTTTTGCCTACATTTTTAGGGTACTATTAAGTAGCATTAGGCTATCATAGAGGGACAACATTTTTTACATCTTAGAATATAATCTGGTTTTATTGTATAAAGATTCTTGCACTTGAAGCCGCTGAGGCTTTTAAAAAAAATCTGACATGAAGTTTCCAAAGGGTATTTCAGAAGTGAGTTGCTTAAATTGATCTTCTGTATATAAAGATAATTGAAAATGAATTTTGATGTGAATGGAAAGTGAGAAGAAGGGAGAGGGAGCGGGAGAGGGGAGGGTTGCAGGTGGGAGGGAAGTTATGGGGGGGGAAAGCCATTGTAATTCGTAAGCTGTACTTTGGAAATTTATACTCATTAAATAAAAGCTTAAAAAAAAAAAGTGAGCTGCTAAAGGGAAACTGGAAAAAAAAAATCAGTTCCAATGCTAGAATGAGCCACCAGAAAAGTGTAGGAGCCATGGTTTTCTTAGGAAGTAGGTTTTCCTCTCATTCTTTTTTTGCTTTTTTTTAAATATAAAGCAAGTAACCCATCCCTGATTTGAAACAGTAAAATTCTCATATCTGCTATCCAGTAAGTACATAACTACACATGTACATTGTATAGAAATGCATTCTCACTGAAATGCACCCTCAAATCACGTACTTTCATACTCATTAACAGGTGAGTAAAACAAGTAGTACTTAGGAGGTCTTCTCCCAGTTACTGAAGATTTGGGACTTTGAACTACAGGTGAACAGTTGTCAGATACAAGCTCCTTCGTTCCACATTTCTTTGTTCAGTGGATGGTAAACACTGCCCAAGATACTTAATTTACTTGGGCCTATAAAAAGATGCTTATGAGTGGGTAACGGAGAAATTTTCTGGAGGAATGATGTTAGAAAATGGCACTAATCATTACCTTTGGAGAATGGGGATAGATGACTGTAGGATAACACACTATTTTTGTATCACGAGCACTTATTTTTATAATATACTGGGGTTTTGCCAAGTGATTTCATCAGCCTACTGTTCAAGTGTTTTAAATACATTATTTCCCAATTGACTACTATTCTCCAGGGTGAAAGTCGGAAAACTTGAGTACAGTTGTACCTCAGGGCCTCAGGGGGACCCACTTCAGGACACCCTGTGGATACTAAAATCTGAAGACTTAAGTTCCTTATATAAAATGTAGTATTTGCACTTGCTTAACATATACACATTCTTCTGTAAACTTTAAATTATCTCTGTTTTTATCTTAATTCAGTGTGACTGCTCTGTAAATAGTTGTTTCACTGTATTTTTAGCAGATGAAAAGGAATAAAGTTCAGCATGCACACACACACCCTCCCAATATTGTCAATCCGTGGTTTGCTGAATCCACCATGTGGCACCCATGATGAAGGCAGGCTGAGAAGAAGGCCCCACATGAATTGGCTTCTTTGCTCAGCTACATCTCCTAGTTGATAGGCAGCTGGATACACTTTTTAAGCTGTCAATATTTAGTGTGGCAATCTGGATTCTCCAGCTATGACTAATTAGTTCCTTGTTACCAAAGTGAGCTTCATGGTGGAAAGGATAGGAAAGTCACAAGCTGTACATTCCTGAGGGATGGCAAGGACATGTATCCTGGTTTTGCCAAGAATTACCAGAAAGCCTGAGGTTAAAATTTGCACTGTTCTGCCAATTAAATATATACACCAGATTTACCCTTTATATTTTTAAATGTACTTTGGGAACACTGTTGGGTCAGCTCAGTTTCAAGGGTCTGTATGAGAAAAACAAAGGGTAGTTCAGTTCTGGAATGGGACACACAGAACAGGCGTTGGGAAGAGTGAGAATTGAGATAACCAGGAAGAATTTTTGTTGACACTTTTAAGGAAATAAAGCCACATTTTCATCTTTGATTGTGAGAAGCTAACAGATAATGCTTAAAACAAAGTAGCATTCTAAGCATTTTACTTAGAGGTACGGAGATAAACACACAAAACCTAAAAGCTGAAAGAATGTTGAAGTGATTGCTCCTGGGAGGTGAAGTGGGGGAGAAGACAAGGTTGATGTTTATTTTTTAAACTGCTTATGGTATGTCATCTGAAACAATCTGCACATGCGATTCTGATATTCAGAGTGGCCATTGTGGTAGATACAGATTAAGCAGACACCCAACCCAGCAGTAGTAGCAGGTGCTGGAAAAGCATCAGCACAAAGTATGGAGGTTTAATTTCAGAATTTCAATGTTGCTGAACCAACAGTACCTTTACAGGTAATGAAGCAAGGCACAACACCATAGGAGGGGCCTTCATAAAAGTTCATGGAAAATACATACTATGAAAATCATGCATGTATTTCAACATTTTTTTTGTGCCAGAATTTATCTTTCAATTCAATTTTCCATGAACTTTATGAAGTAACTTATATAGTTCACTAAAGATGGGAACCAATCACAGAAATAGGTCTTTTTTTGAAAATCAGATTTTTAACATTTTTACTGGCAAATTGGACATACTTCTGGACAAAAGGTATGTTTTTAGAATTCAGTCCTAATTTATAGGTCTTAGGAAAATTTAAATAGACAAGTTACTGCAGATTGAGAAAATGGCTCCAATATTCCTCTTCCTGTGTCCAGTCCCATTATAAGGCTGGAATTTATTTCCTCATCTCTTCATGTGGCCTGTGTAAATTCCAAGGCTGAGCCAGGGCCTTGCACATTGCTTCCAAAGCCTTGGCTGTCCTGATGGAGGATGAGAGCAAGTACAGCCTCTAAAGTGAAGTCAAGACGGCTCTCCACCCAGCTTGCGGGTGGTCATATCTGCATAAATGAGCTCAGTGGAGATGAGATGACTGCCCAGCAGAACTGCAGCACTTGTAAGTAGTCATAACTCTAGTTTTAAGCCATTAAGTTTAAAGGAGGCCTATTACAGAGAAACCGCTGATAGATTTGTCATGTTATAAAATCAGATTGTTACAGGGTCACACAAGAACAAAATAACTCTGAAATGTTTGGTAATGTAACTCAGCATTTCAGGTAGTTAGTAAAACTCAAACTGAGCATTTAATATATCAAGAACTCCAAAGAGAACTGTGTTCCTCAGTGTCCAAAGATGACTTCCAGGTGAGCTCACTACCTTGTAGGTCTCATTTATTGGAATCTCTTGGCATTAAAGACTCTGCCTCTCAGTAGAAACACACAGATCTAGGATCAGAGATTTCTTCTAGCTCACTCAGCAAGCTTGGGTTTGTGTTTCATCCTGCGAGACCAGGTGTCTTCCTAAGTATGTGTTCACATATGGAGCTGAGGGTGATTCTTATCCATGAAAAAGGGGATCTCTTCTCCCCTCATCAATCTTTGAATTGTTCACAGGCCCCAGTTATAAGAATTCTGCAACTTACAGATTGTATCTTTTGGACTGGGGATGATGTAGACAACTCAGATTTTTTTTCTAAATATTTTTAAAGACAGAGCACACAGGAAGAAAAGCAAAGAAAAAAAAGCTCATTATAAAAAGGGAAATCAGGCTTTTTTTTTTTTTTCTTTTTGACAGGCAGAGTGGACAGTGAGAGAGAGAGACAGAGAGAAAGGTCTTCTTTTGCCGTTGGTTCACCCTCCAATGGCTGCTGCGGCCGACGCACCGCGCTGATCCGATGGCAGGAGCCAGGAGCCAGGAGCCAGGTGCTTTTCCTGGTCTCCCATGGGGTGCAGGGCCCAAGCACCTGGGCCATCCTCCACTGCACTCCCTGGCCACAGCAGAGGGCTGGCCTGGAAGAGGGGCAACCGGGACAGATTCCGGCGCCCCGACAGGGACTAGAACCCGGTGTGCCGGCGCCGCTAGGCGGAGGATTAGCCTAGTGAGCCGCGGCGCCGGCCGGAAATCAGGCTCTTAACCAAACTAAACAACAGGCAGACACATATTTGCTCTCCAGTACTCTGTCAATACCTGATTTCATTTTAACACTTAACAGTGTGAACAACCAATGAACCACCAGTCTGAGGTGACTTATGAATAGATTTGCTCTGGTTAATAGGCCTGCAATTTTTTTTCTTATTTTTTATACTGCTTTTTAAAATTTTTGTTATAAAAGTTTTACATATTTCATAACAGTTCCAGTATTCTTAAGACTTGCCAAATAGCTGTTGAATGTGTGTTTTTGTGTGTGCCTGCATTTCTTCATGAAGAATGTCAAGTATTAGCATGAATTGAGGCTTTGGTTTCAAGACTTCAGATGTATCAAAATACAAATACAGTATATAAATACACAGAAAACAATTTGTGTATATCTAGAATGAGAGTACATATAACAGAAAAATTGGTGATCTGCATTTTGGAAACTGTAGGTGTTTTTGTTTTTTTGAGAGGTATAGAGAAAGTGCTAGAACTTTCTTTTGATTCACTCCCTAAATGCCTCCACCAGCTGTAAGTAGGCCAGTTTGAAGCCAGGAGCTAGGTATACTGCCCAGGTCTCTCACAAGGGTTGCAGGAACCCAGTGACTGCAGCCATCAGTGCAGCCTCCTAAGACCTGCAGTAATCAATAGCTGGGGCCAGAACTGAAGCCAGGTACTCGGATAGGGCATGTGGGCGTCTTCACTGCTGGTCTAAACGTCCATCCAACCAGCCTTCCATACCATTTGTTCACTCATTTCTTCCCTTCCAAACCAATGATTTTTATTTTAAGTTCTTAATACTTGAAGGAAAACAAATTATTTATTCTGAGTTAAACTTGAAATTGAGAGTTTCCATTCATAATTTTCCCAAAGCATTATAAAAATTGATTTTCCTGAACTAAAAAAAAAATATTTTTAAGAAGTCACAGGTTAAAAAGAAAAATACTGCAAACATCTTGTGGAAAAGTGGAGAAAATGCCAAAATTATATCAGAGTGAATTAATTTCCAAATTGCATATGGAGGCAGGTGTTTAGCCTAGCAATTAAGATACCAGTTAAAACGCCCGTGTTCTGGGGCTGGCGCTGTGGTGTAGCAGGTAAAGCCGCTGCCTGCAGTGCCGGCATGCCATATGGGTGCTGGTTTGAGACCCAGCCACACCACTTCCAATCCAGCTCTCTGCTGTGGCCTGGGAAAGCAGTAGAAGATGATGGCCCAAGTATTTGGGCGCCTGCACCTGCATGGGAAGACCCAGAGGAGGCTCCTGGGTCCTGGCTTTGCATTGGCACAGCTCCAGGCATTGCGGCCAATTGGGGAGTGAACCAGCAGATGGAAGACTTCTTTCTCACTCTCTCTCTCTGCCTCTCTTCTCTCTCTGTATAACTCTGCCTTTCAAGTAAACAAATCTTAAAAAAAAAAAAAACAAACCTAATTTCAGTCCCATGCATTATTTAAAAAAAAAAAATGCCTGTGTCCTGCATCAAAGTGTGTGGGTTAAATTCCAGGCTCCAGCTTCTCACTAATGCAGGTGGTCATGAGGTGCAAGGAGTTAATGACTGGCTCCGGATGTCAGCCTCAGCACTTGGGGGGCATTTGAGGAGTGAACCAACAGATGGGAGCTCTGTCTTTCTGACACTCAAAAAGCAAAACAGAAACTTGCAAATGCATTAGAGTGAGTCTTTTTAATTTTTTTTTTTTTAATTTATTTGACAGATAGAGTTAGACAGAGAGAGAGAAAGGTCCTCCCTCCGTTGGTTCACCCCCCAAATGGCCGCTATGGCTGGAGCTACGCTGATCGGAAGCCAAGAGCCGTTGCTTCTTCCTGGTCTCCCATGCAGGGCCCAAGCACTTGGGCCATCCTCCACTGCCTTCCTGGGCCACAACAGAGAGCTGGACTGGAAGAGGAGCAACTGAGACTAGAACCCAATGCCCATGGGTGATGCCGGCGCCGCAGGCAGAGAACCAACCAAGTGAGCCACGGCGCCGGCCCCTAGAGTGGGTCTTAAAAGGGTAAATATTTTATGTGTGACAGCATTAAAAACTAGTTTCAACAACTATATTTTTCCTTTATGAAAATGAAGACCCTTATATCTTAACCATAAACTTAAAAAATAGCCATTTTAAAACAGACATATTCCTTTACTTTTTAATAAAAAATTTCTAACAGAAACACCACTACCAAAACATGATTTGGATATCAGATCCTCATGTTTTTTATCTCACTTTATAGAATAAAGGAAATAAAGAGTATTCAGACTACAAAATGGGAATATTGCAATAATAGTTTGTAATTAACTAAACAATTCTAATTTATCCTTGCTGAAAGTAAATAATTTAATGAGCATTTATTGACAACAAAATTCTATATAAATATTTTTCTATAGTAAACACAACACTTACCACAGAACACCATACAAAATGGTAAAACTGGATAGATGAACCTGAATTCTTTGTGGCCCAACATGCTGTAATAAAATACATTAGGTGAAAATATTAACATAAATCATATATTTAAAAATTGATGTATTTAAAATGAAGTATCATTAACATGATCTTCATTTGCCAAGTGTTGAGACTAAATTTCTTAGTTTAGAAATCATTCTCACTATTTTTTAGTTATGAGACTGCAATGTGTTAAATAACTTTTGATGTTAATGTGAATTTATAAAGTACAGCAATATTCTAAAAATAGGATTTTTATTACCAGTCCAAGTAAGTAATGCTATTCAAAATTAGAATAAGTATTTCTTTGGTCCTTCAATACTCAAAAGTCACATAATTTCAGTTTTTTAAAAGCAAATGAATGTTGTTCACCTTCTTAAACATTGAGTGTAATGCTTGTTAAGCAAACTGTATGTCTGAAGTATTTATGCTGTGCAGGATTCTGATTACTTACTTCTGTCTTTAAAATAATCTATACTAACAAATCATAAGAGTTAATGAATCCCCCAAAGGTAAATAGTTTAGTTACTGAAGAATTAACTTCTGATAACATTCAAAAAATTCAGTGTTTGAAAAATAAAGTCTTACCTATAAACTAGAAGTGTCCACAGAACAGTCACCAAAAGTATCTGGTACCTCTTTGGGGCTATAAAGCAGCCATGAACAAAAAAAGGTAGATGACTGCCCAGGACAACTGGAAGTCCTTGAGTGAAGTACCAGTGCCATGGATGAGAGCCATAAAATGTTCCCAAATTCTGCAGCACGTTAAACTTCAAAAAATTAAATTGAACCAGGGTCCACTGGCCAAGTTGAAGGAAAAAGAGAAAAGTGTTAGTGTCACACGCATTTAACATTAGGGAATCTGATATCATGCTGACAGTAAGTCAACAGGTAAAAACCAGACAATAGTTTACATCAATAATTTTGATTAATTATTAAACCATTCTTATGTTTTTCTTCTCTAATGTGTTGTTAATTTGTAAATTACTAGGTTTTTGAAATACATGAGGAATACACACTCATGGTGACCATTTAAAATTTTACTCTAGTATCTTATGATGTCATGTTATCTGTAAAGATACAGCTTTGAAAACATTATAATTTGAATTATAGCACAAAGCACATAATATAGCAACAGTACCAAATAACACAATGTGAAGTGCTCATTTATGCCAGAAACTTGTAAGCATTGTATATGTAATACCTCATTTAATCTTATGAGATAGGTGCCACCGTTATTTATATATGGAAAGGATAACTGTTTGTGTAGTAAAAACACAAGGAAAAAATAACACAAAGAAACCATGACAAAATAGCTATACAAGCTATAAAGCTTGTACAAAATCACAAAGGTAATATTGAGAATACTAGGCTTCAAAACATGAAAATCTGATTCCAAAGCCTACAAGTAACTAATTTTAAAGTGGGGCAGGGAGGGGTGGGAAGTGAACTTAAAACAACCTATGGAAGATCTCTGCGAGTGACATCCTAGTGGAAAGAACGGGACCATCAAAGAAGGAGGTATCTTTCTCTGAAGGGAGGAGAGAATTTCCACTTTGACTATATGACCCTGTCAGAATAAGATCGAAGTCGGCGAACTCAAAAGGCTTCCATAGCCTTGGCAACTCATGCCTAGAGCCTAGGGAGATTACTGACGCCATAAACAAGAGTGTCAAATTGTTAAATCAACAACAGGAGTCACTGTGTACTTACTTCTCATGTGGGATCTGTCCTTAGTGTGTTGTCCAATGTGAAGTAATGCTATAACTAGTACTGAAACAGTATTTTACAGTTTGTGTTTCTGTGTGGGTGCAAACTGATGAAATCTTTACTTAATATATACTGAATTGATCTTCTGTATATAAAGATAATTGAAAATGAATCTTGATGTGAATGGAATGGGAGAGGGAGCAGGAGATGGGAGGGGTGTGAGTGGAAGGGAAATTATGGGGGGGAAGCCATTGTAATCCATTAACTGTATTTTGAAAATTTATATTTACTAAATAAAAAAAAAAACACCAAAAGTCATTACCTACAGTTATGATGCTAAAAAATTTCAAACCAAATGACTGAAGAATAAAAAACTGGTTAATTTTAATTTCCATATGATTCAAGGTCAAGTCAAGTCACTACAAATTTACTCTCACTACAAAACCAACAAAATGTAAGCATATTTCCCTGCCTTCTTTGGCAGCTGGCATTGTAGCATAATGGACTGAGCTGCTACCTGCAATGCTAGCATCCCATATAGGTGGCTCCACTTCTGATCCATCTCCCTGCTAATGCACCTGGGAAGGCAGCAAAAGATGGCCCAAGTCTCTGGATCCCTGTACCTCAATGGGAGACCTGGAGGAAGCTCCTGGGCGTTGGCTTCAGCTTAGCTCAGCCCCAGCTATTGTGGCCAATTAGGGAATAAACCAGCGGACAGAAGTGCTTTCTCCCTTTTCTGTAACTGCCTTTCAAATAAATAAGATGAATCTTTTTTTTTTTAAGGATTCTTTGAACATCACTAATACAGAAAGCAAATGGAAACCAAAAGCACATGCTAATAATATTTTTGGTATACCCTGTCTTTTTAAAAAAAAAATGATTTTCATGTGTTCTGAAATATTAATGGATTAAAAATCCAGGTTGAGGTTTAAATGTTTAAAATAAAAACAGCTGTCAGCTTAACGTTTTTACTTACATCGCCAAAAAAAATTCGATCGATTATCAGAGAAAAACTCAAGGTTACAAATCTGAAAAAAAAAACAAAGAAACAAATGGTGATTCACTTTCTGAACTTGCTGAAAATCCAGTATTTGCATATGGCTTTATAAGTGCCTTGCATCAAAAAGCCACTTTTAAAATGCTTTACAGTTTCCCCAACTGAATATGGATTTGCACATTTTAAAAGATCCCTCACTGATAAGATGCATTTAAGGAAATTTGTAAACACTACTATATTATTTATTTTACTACACCACAAACTATCCTAAAACTTGATACACAAATAACTATCCTTAAACCATGACCATGAACATTATTTCAGTTCCTAAGGGCCAGGAATCCAGGTATAGCTTAGCTGGATGCTTCTGGGTAAAGCTCTTAGGTGGGGCTGTCGTTTGATCGGAAGGTTTCATTAGGGTTGGAGGAGAGAGTTTCCAAACTGATTGTTGGCCCAGTCCCTAAACACGTAGCACTCTCCATAAGACAGCTTCCCAAGGCAGTGACTGGCTTCCTCCAGTGTTGATGGTTCATCTTTGGAAGTGACAGCCCATCCTTTCTGCTCTATTCTGTTTGCTGTAACTGAGTCAATCAATGTAACCCATACTCACAGGGAGGGATTATTTGATAACACAGATGAGCACTGCCATTTCTTGAATTTGTAAGAATGGAAGCATACCATATGTCCTCTTAAGTCCAGTTTCCTTCTTACTATCCCTGTAACATTCACCCATGCTTTTCTGCAAGTCTCACTTCACTCATGTCTAATACTATGTATTGTCACTATGTTTACAGCACTAATTATTCTGCTGAGGAACAGTGCTTCTCATTTCAGTGTCACGATGGTTCTGCAGTGAGTGTCTCCTAAGTGTCTTTTGACACTCATATAATGAAGTTCTGTTAGGTATGTATCTGGGACTGGAACTGCTGGACCCTAGGGTTTAAATGCAATCAGCTTTAATGAAACTTGGACTTTCCAAAGTGGGCAAATCAATTTAACTTCCTATGGAACTATATGAGTTATACACTGTTTTTAGCCATTTTGGTAGATGTACACTAATGGGTCTGGATGGTTTAAATTTACATTTCCTTGGTAACTGAGATGAGTTTTTATTTACTGACCACTTGGCTATTTTTTTTGAAATACCTCTTTAGGTCTTTTTTTTTTTTTTTTCTTTAAAGATTTATTTATTTATTTGAAGGCAGAGTTAGAGAGTTAGAGAGAGGCAGAGAGAGAGGTCTTCCATCTTCAGGTACACTTCTCAAATAGCCGCAACGGCTGAAGCTGTGCCAATCCGAAGCCAGGAGCTTCTTCCTGTGCTGAGCTGGATTGGAAGTGGAGCAGATGGGATGCCAGCACTGTAGGCGGTGGCTTTACCTGCTGCACCATATAGCACTGGCCCCTCTTTTAGGTCTTTTGATCATTTTTTCTATTGTCTTTTTCTGATATCACAAGTTCTGTATATAAAGTACCAGCTGGTTATGTAAGTTGCAAGTATCTTCTGTGGCTCATTTCTTCATTCTCTAAATGGTAAATCTGATTAACAAAGGTTTTGATTCAGATGTATTTATCTTATAATTAGCACATATTTTCTATTCAGGAAAGTTCTGCCGGCTTCACAGTTGTTAGGATATTCTGGCAGCACAACTACTTTATTTTACATTAAGATCTATATTTCCTTGGGTTCATTTTGCTTATCCTGGAAATGGTGGCCAAGATTTTTTCCATATGGATATACAAATTATGTATTACTGAAAAGATTATTTTCTCTACTGTAGTATCTCCATTATAAATGAAGTGACTGCATATGTCTGAGTCTCTTGCTGGACATGTTCTATTCACTGGTTCATCTATTTTACCTGGCACTCATTCTAAATTGCCTTAATTATTATAACTTTGAAGTGTTTTTTTGTTTGTTTGTTTTTAAGATTCATTTATTTGAAAGAGTTACAGAAAGGGAGAGACAGAGAAAGAGATCTTCCAACCACTGGTTCACTCCCCAGATGGCCACAATGGTTGAAGCTGGGCTGATGGAAGCCAGGAGTCAGGATCTTCTTCTGGGTCTCCAACTTGGGTGCAGGGGCCTAAGCACTTGGGCCATCTTCCGCTACTTTTCCAAGTATATTATAACTTTGAAGTAAGTTTTTTTTTTTTTTTTTAAGATTCATTTACTTGAAAGAGTTACAGAAAGGGAGAGACAGAGAGAGAGATCTTACATTGAGTGTATAGTTAAATTTGGAGCAAACTGATACTTTACAATATTGAGTCTGCCATCCATGAACATGGAACATTTCTCCATTTACTCAGGCCTTCTTTAGTTTTCTCCAGTAATGTTCTACAACTTTCTGTGAAGAGGTCTTATACCTTTTATTAATTAAAGTATATGGTATTTTCTGATGCTACTAAGAATGATGATTTTATTTTCCCAAATAACCTTCACCTAGATTACTGTATTAGCTTATCACCTAAGTTAATAAGGTTAGGTCCAACTACTGTTCACTGTGATTCTTCAAATAACATGTTGCTGTATTTGATTTTATCCTTTTTTTGTGTGTCTTTACATATACATTTTTTTCTGAGCTGCTTGAAATCGTAGATACCATTCAGTTTTTTGTTGTGTGTGTGTGTGTGTGTGTGTGTGTGATTTTTTTTTTTTTTTAAAGTTGATGTATTTATTTGAAGAGTTACAGAGAGAAAGGGAGAAAGACAGATCTTTGATCCACTGGTTCACTCCCCAGATGGGCACATTGGCCAGCATTGGGTCAAGGTGAAGTCAGCAGCCAGAAGCTTCTTTCAGGTCTTCCATGTGGATCTTCCAAACACCTGGGCCATCTTCCACCACTTTTCCCAGGCCACCAGCAGGGAGCTGGATTGGAAGTGGAGCAGCTGGGACTTGAACCAGCACCTGTATGGGATGCTGGCATCGCAGGCAGTGGCTTAACCAGCTATGCCTCAACACCAGCCCCCACCATTCACTTTTATCTTTAAATATGTCAGTTAATATATCCTAAAAAAAATTCTTCTACATAAACCACAAACCATCAGAATCAACAAATTAAGCCTTTAGTAATATATAATTTACAGGCTTTGTTCAGACTCTGCAAGTCATTCCAATAATGTTTTTTATAGTGAAAGAAAAATGATTTATTATATTCACTTTTCATATTTCTTTGGTCTTCTTTAATCTGGACTAATAACAGTTCCTTATTGTTTTTCTTTAATGACACTGGCATCTTTGAAGAATCAAGTCAGTTATTTTGGAGTTGTGAGCTGGGTTAATCCAGTGTTTTCTCCCGATTAGATCCAGGTGATGCACTGGGCAGAACTGATGGGGTGTTTTTCTCAGTGCTTCAGAGCAGGAGTCCTGTGATACTGCTTTGTCCTATTACTGGCAGTGGTAACTTTGTTCATTTGCTTAAGATGTGTCTGCCCAGTTTCTCTACTTCAAAGCCACCATTTTATCCTTTGTTTTGGATAAGCACCTTGTGAGGAGATACTCTGAAACTTGTCATTCCTGGGACTTGTACTTAGCAGTGTTGATAACCAGGTATAATTAGTATTTTTTAATCTTGTTTCCAGTGAGCATTCTTATTTGCTAATTCTAATACTTCTTTACAGATACTTTTGCATTTTTTATATATAAAATCACATCATACAGTTTTAGTTCTTCCTTTCCAAGCATTTACTTGCTTTTTTTATTGCACTAGCTAGGATGCAGAGTCATAAATACAAATAGAGATAATCATCCTTGTATTTTTTCTAATCTCAGGGGAAAGGATTTTGATATAGCAACATTATCACTTTAATAAAAGATTGATTTATTTGAAAGAGTTAGAGAGGGAGAGATAAGAGAGAGGGGTATTCCATCCTCTGGTTTGCTCACCAGTTAGCCTCAATGGCCAAAGCTGGGCTAGGCTAAAGCCAGGAACTAGAAGCTCCATCGGGGTGTCCCACATGGGTGGTAGGGGCCCAAAAACTTGGGCCATCCTCTACTGCTTTTCCCAGGCCATTAGCAGGGAGCTGGATTGGAAAAGGAATAGTTGGGACATGAACCAGTGACCAAGGTGGTGGCTTTACCTACTATACCACAGCACTGGCCCTGTTCTCTAATATATTTATAGAAACATTTGTCATATTAATGAGTCCTTTTCCATTGCTTATTTCCTAAGGATTGTCTTTTTTTCCCTCCAATCTTGAGCAGGCTTTGAATTTTACTGTATTCTTTTTCTGTGTCTACTGAGAAAGCCCTATGATTTTCCTCCTGTGTTCTGTTAATATCATGAGTCATATGGACAGAGATTCAAATATTAAGCCTATTTCACTGTCCTAAGAGTCAGAATGCACAACTATGTCTTCAGTCAGTAATTATTTTGGCTGTTCTACTGGATACGTGGTGTCAGTCTGACAGTAGCTCGGAGTACTGTCACAGCAACTAGCCCAGTGGTTTTAGATAACTCATTTTTAATTTCTCCAAGTCTCCTGTTTCCTCTACTACAAAATAAAAGTGCATATTGCTTTCATCCAAGAATTGTTAAAATCATTAGGTAGTTGTGAGAACACTTTATAAATTATAAAGCACTATCCAAAAAAAGCAGAGGTCATAGGAAAGGCATAAGTTATAAATAATTACAAAGACCCTGACTGAAGCAAATTAAAATACAATTGGGGCCAGTGTTGTAGTGGGCTAAGCCACTGCCTATGATGCAGCATCCTGTATGGGTGCCAGTTTGTGTCTCATGCTCATTTCCCATCCAGCTCTCTGCTAATGCACCTGGGAAGACAGCAGAGGATGGCTCAAGTCTTGGGTCCCTGCACCCACGTGGGAGACCCAGATGAAGCTCCTGGCTCCTAGCTTTGGCCTGGCCCCAGCTATTTGGGGAGTGAACCAATGCACAGAAGATCTCTGTCTCTTCCCCCCTCTCTCTCCCTCTAACGCTTTCAAATAAATAAATAAGTAAATATTTTAAAAAATACAATTAGGATTATAAATATAAAAATATGTATTTGGAAATATTCCATTTCCTTGGATTGAAAACTTGCATAGAAGTTAGAAAATAAAGTTGGAAGATGTAAATATCTGTTTATCATTTAGAGGCTAGTAAAATTGAGACATGGATTGTAGCCATACTTACCCTACAGGCAAAAAATGCTGTAGAATGAGATCAAGCTTTTTCTGTTCTTGCCAGAAATGCCTGATGAGCAAGGGTATCCATGGAATGATAGCTGTGGGACGAATTACGAAGGCAAGTGCCACCAGGGATGAGTATTTGACACTGCAAGCAAGGAAAATGTGATGTTACCAAGACAAATGGGAAGTTGTTTTTGAAAATAATCCATTTGCAGTGTGATACAAACTTTAAAAAACAAAAGTATCTTCCTTTTGGTAGAAATGGCTATGTGGACTTTGGCAAGTTACTTACATTTTCTGTTTTTTTTTTTCTTAGTTTTTTTTTTTTTTTTTTTTTGATCTGTAAAAGGAGGTAAGATATAAAGTGTTTTTCAGCTCTAACTTAACTCTGATTTTAAATAAGAAGTTATCCTGTATGTTATCACTAGTCTTATGTGCTGGAAAGTATACTTTTTACTTCCTATATCTGCTATTTAACTTGATAGAAAATTAAGTTTCTCCTACAGAAATATACGAAAGTCATATAAAAACTTTCCCTAAGGAAAAAAAATGTGCAGTTAAACATTAGGATTATTTAGATATTGATCTATTCTGAGTATATGTGATTTTATTTTGAAATTAAGCTAATTTTATCCAACTGAAGGATATGTATGTACAACTGATGAAAAGCCCACTGTGAAAACCTGTATGACTATGGATACAGATGTGCATTTTTACTACTGGGACTTATCAATTAGTGGCTAAAAGATGATTTGACAATTTAGTTATGAATACTTAGCCCTGGTAAGAATCAACTCATAAAAATAAACAACTGTAAAGAAATCCCTATGTTGATGAGGATACATCCATCAGTGAGAGCAGCGAAAATGAATGATACCAGCTGGGTAGAGAATCGCTCAGAAAAGAACCCTGTTCCAAAGTGTTACTAGGCGTTCCAAATGTTCAAGGGAAACTAGAAATCTATATTTTTATATAAGATCTCCTAACTGAAAGAACTTTGCCATAAGCTTACTTTCAGAAACCATGTTTCAAATGAAACAAAAATACTTGTGGCTCAGTTTGACTGCAGATAGCCTAAATGCAACTTATGCTGTAATGAAATGACAAAACTCTCAAATATGTATTTCCATCTTTACCTTACTCCAAATTTTGAGACATATGCTGTGTTCTTCATTCTGAGTGTTTCTACATAGATCATGCACTAGGACTCAAAGTCTCTGGATGGCATAGATGCCCATGGCTTTCCCTGAAACCTGTCCAAAGAACACTACTCAGGTTAACAGTAGTATCACTCAGCTTCTTAGTTTTAAACCTTTAGAGTCATTTTAAATAGCTTCTTACCCCACACATCCACTTTAATTTCTTTCCCCTTTCCAGTGTTCTCATTTTATCAAGTCCTGACTCTTATCTGGAACCTTTTAATCATTTTTTTTATTACCCAGAAATATTCCATTACTTAACACCACTGCCACTTACTTGGTGCTTACTTGTAATAGCTTCTATGTTACACATTTTACAGAGATTCTCATTGAGTTCTTATGTGAACTGTTTTATTATTTTCATTTTACAGAAATGAATGCTTAAACTCATATTCTCCTTAAAGGCATCTTTCAGTATAACATGTGAATTTTTTAAGGAATATGCAAAACGTCAGGTCTGGAGTGGCATCTGTCATACAGGGAAGACTATTTATGCTTATCTGGTTGTCCTTTTGTACCCATGGCCCTCCCTTCCTCAGGGATCCGGAGAGAGCACCCGAGCCCAGGCAGCCAATCTCAATGCTAGCCAGTGCGAAAGCTTTGCCGGATAGGGACAATGACGTTTAACACACCTAATCGGATTCTCTCAAAATCAATGTGCGATACAGACAAAGCTGGGCCATTGGGATGTGAGAACAGAAGCTAAGATATGTTACCTTAGCCCTACAATGGTGGAAGGCCAAAACAGGGATCACAGACCGGGCTACAAAGGCACAGGACTAGAATCTCCCCAGCTGCCTTGGATTCTGCATCATCTTCCAATGCAGTTGTGTGCCTAAGGTGCTCCACAATTTCCTTCTATGCTTGGCCACAAGGCTGAGAGCCAATTTTCCTGATTGTCACTTTTGGCCTCATAATATAGGAAAGTTGGGTGAATGCTTATTATTGCCACCAAAAGAGTCTGTTGCAGAAAAGATCTTACTTGATTTGATCTTCTCAGCAGCTTTTCATGCAGGGAGAATGGATCCTAGACTCCCAAACTCTGGCTTCCTCCCTTTCACATATTCTAAGTATTGCTACTACCAGAGAATTCTTTTGGAATCAGATTTGGTAATGTCATGCTTCTCAAAACCTCCAACGGTTTCCTATTCTCTACTGAATAAAATCCAAATTCTAGAGAGGGGCAAAGTCCCATTTCATTCCCTTCCCTTGTTACTCCCTTCATCCATGCATCCTACCACACCAGCTGCTCTGGACAACCTGCCCTGACACTCAAGCCCTTTTACAGCTCCCTACTTTGCCCACATTGTTCCCTTTGTTTGATATTTGTTTCCTCAATTTATAAAAGGTCAGATCAGGTCCAAATATCTTCTATTTGTCCATCCATATCTGTACTCCTCCACCCTTTACTTTCTCTGTGTGCAGGAAGATTGATCGGGTTGGATTACATCAATAGTATACCTTATTTTCTGACTTCTGATTGGTTTTGGATACCAAAAAAAGTGGAATCAGGATTCTGTGTTCTGGCAGTCTCCTTGCTATAAGTGAAGGCTGATTTTGTCTCCTTGGAGGCCTTCTCTTTTAGTTACAACTCAGTATGGATTCCAGTGACCATTTTCTTTCCTTGTTCCTTGGCCCTTAGAGGGAACACAGACTTCCTTCTCTGACTAAGGGACTAGTGAGCTGCTGTGGCACTATAACAGTGACCTGAGTGCCTTTCCTAAATATTATCGTCACTTCTGTCAACAGTTATTTTATTAAGCTATCCTTCATCATCCAGCTTGAGTATGTTATGTATTTCTTGCTATACTGTATCAACTGAAGATTTATGGTTCTCGTAGCTCTCACAGACATTAAGTGGTCTACTGAACATTACAATATGTTATATTCAAGACTTTCAAAAGCATGCCTTACAGTTTTGTACATAATCATTAGCAATAATATAACTCACCTGTTCATAGACTTTGAACCTTCCAAAGGATAGTAGAAAAGAGCAATTACAGTAAGAACAGTTTCCATGGTGTTTGTAAGGGTTCTGGTACAGCAATACCATGTGAACCAAGAGCACAACTGGCAAAAAAACTAAGAACAATTATGAACAAACATGTATGAAGTAGAGAATGGAAACTCAGTATTATCTTCTATGGGAAAGAACAAGTATGTCTACATATTAAATATTAAAATTGCAAAACCCACCTCAAAAGAGATATTAAAAGTAAGTAGGCATGCCCAAGCATTGTTTTTAAGAAGTTATAGACAATACCAGATATACTGTTGTTATATTAAGTATTTATACTTTCAGGTGTATTTTTATGACATTTGAGTTAAGTCTCACTTCCCATTAATCAAAGGCATAAAACAGATTGTTTCATGGTAGAATCTGTAGAAAACTGAAATTCATAACTAGATTCTCCCAGTCAGTACTCCTCAAACTGTCTTACTGTACTCACATAAGTATTTTGAATGTTTTTAAATTTCTTCAGTTTGGAATGTAGCCTTATTTCTTGATGAAAAATTAAGATAAAACAGAAACATTTCAGGAGGCATCATCAAATTTTAAGCTGTAAACTAACGAAATTAATAAACCAGCTTTTAGAAGAACATACAAGTGAAGAATTGTTATTCTAGAATACAGACATCTTAAAAATGACTTGTTTATTGAGGCAAGTGTGTTAAACATGCAGCTCTAGGTTTCTGCATTTTTCATTTAAAAAAGTTCCCAATTTTTTCATGAAGTTAGAGTTTTCCTAAATTAGAAGAACCTAGTGCTGTTTTTTTTTTTTTTTTTTTGAGGAAGGATTCCAAAGGCATCATAACCATTCTATATTGTGCCTTTAGCAACATACATAAAATATAAGCACAGAATAAAAATTATTTTTTAACCTGAATAATTATCAAGGACTTAGTTGCTAAATAAATCTTTCTTTTTAATGCAAAGGAGTACACTGCTTGCAGAAATATGTTTTTTTCCAATTTATATGTATTTCAGAATTTGGTTACTTAGAATTTGTAAGGTGTTTTTCAATAGAAATGTTAAAAAAAAAGTAGTAAGATTTCTAAGCTAGTTCATGTAAGCTTATTTGGAGGGCCAAGTGAAGTAACAGTAGTGCTAGAAGATTCCATCACTCTTCAGGGTATGATTTAAATGGGAAAACCCATTCAAGGTCAGGAAGAGATGTCAGGAATCCTTCTCCCCACTTTGAAATCAACCAAATGACAAAGTCTTCAGGAGCACATTCTCTCCTTTATGTGAGTCCAGCTCCCTCCAGCCTTCTGGCCAGGGCGACCAAGTGTCTCAGTGTAGAGGAACTTCTCTGGTGCAGCTCACATGGCTACAGGAACCGTAACAAGTGCTGGAAGCAGCCCAGTTCTCTGGGAGGTAAACAGTGGTTTCCATCTGTCCCTGTGCACCCTATTAAAAGAGATTCTGAGAGCTTTCAGGAGTGAAAGAGCTTCACGTGCTATCTCTTTGGGTTTAACCTCTCACAGGGCTTGTGGGCATCAGAGGCTTCCACTGCTCTGGGCACAATGAGGAGCACGTACTGCTGCTGTTTTGCTGCTCTTAATTATGAAGCTGTATGATTTATCTTCTAATACTTTTTTGGGAGTTCAATATTTATATACAAGCTTTATGTCCATAGATTTGAATGAAATAACTGGCATTTAATTTCTCAAGTGTTTAGCACTTACCACCCATTTTGCCACTTCCTGATTTTCTATTTGCTTCATTAATGAGTAAAGTCTCACATCTGCTATGGCAGACAGAAGTGCCTGGGCAAGTCTAGGAATCCAGATCTTCATTAGTGAAAAAGGAGGAGAAGATGTTAAAAAACATCTGTTGGTTCACATTGAATTATCATAAAAACCAAACAGCTGATCCATTTATCAACTGAAGGCATTCTTAGTACAAAATTAGACATAATGTATGACTGTAATCTTCTGTGAACATGTTTTTCTATAAAAAATATTAATTCTCATTACCATTCTCATCACACACACATAAACACATATGTAATTTCAGTACTAATTTCAGTTTTACCTAGCCAGCAAACCATTTCATTGTGTTAAGATTTGATTTTGAAAGTATTTAAATTTTTATCAGCATATTCTGGAATTTTTTTTTTAAGATTTCTTTCTTCATTATTTGAAAAGCAGTGTTACAGAGAGGGAAGGAGAGACAGAGATCTTCCATCCACTTCCATTTGGTTCACTCCCCAAACAGCCACAATGGCCAGAACTGGGCTCATCTGAAGCCAGGAGCCAGGAGCTTTTTTTAGGTCTCCCACGTGGGTGCAGCGGCCCAAGTACTTGGGCCATTTTACCACTGCTTTTCCAGGCCATAGCAGAGAGCTGGACTGGAGGTAGAGCAGATGGGACTCAAACTGGTGACCATATCGGATGCTGGCGCCACAGGTGGAGGCTTAATCTATGCCACAGCAATGGCCCCAATGATGGAATTTTTTAAAATCAAATATTTATAGTATTGTAGCCAAATTCCACCAAATTACTTTAACCCAGTATTGTCTCCTATCATTTCAACATCTAATTAATATAAAAATGTTATATATTTTTTCTTGGTACAAGGCCTTTTATATCCATTATGTACTTTATACTTACAGCACTTTTTAGTTTGGTCTAGCCACACTGCAGAAGTTCAACAGTCAAGGTGACTAGTGGCTACCATGATGGACACTGCAGCTCTAATCCATCCCCTACATCTGCATCCACACCTTATGCAGTTTAGAAAGAAGCCATCTGGAAAGAACAGAAAGGTGTATGTATCCTAGGATCCAGCTCTAGCTCCACCTATAACGTGCTGTGATCTTGGCCTATTTCCATTTCTCTGACCCCTGTTTAAAAGTATTGCTATGAGAATATGTGGCATCCGAGTTTTAGGAGGGAGTCAGGTCAGCTAAAGGTTGAGAGAAGATCTTGAAGAAACAAGAAATTTCTCTGTATTGAAGACCCTTTCATTCATAATCTAATCTAGTTTCTGAGATGCAAGATGTCCTTAATGAAACTGCATATTTTCCTATGTTTCCAGACTTTGTGGATACCCTGCATAACCTGGAAACTAGTGGGTAGCTCTGACAGAAGAAAAGTGAGTTCACACCTAAATTCTCCATGTGTTGATGGGAAGAATTGCTACTGCTCTAAATCTGCCTTTTCCATGATCCTGCCCTGTGAAGCATCAGTTTCACTGGGCTGATTCTTCTTTATCAATAATGAACTAAGGGGTTGGCGCTGTGGCACAGCAGGTAAAGCCACCACCTGCAGTGCCAGCATCCCACACGTGCGCCGGTTCGAGTCCCAGCTGCTCCACTTCCAGTCCAGCTCTCTGCTGTGGCCTGGAAAAGCAGTGGAAGATGGCCCAGGTCCTTGGGCCCCTGTACCCGTGTGGGTGACCTGGAAGAGGCTCCTGGCTCTTGGCTTTGGATCAGCGCAGCTCCAGCAGTTGTGGCCATTTGGGGAGTGAACCAGTGGATGAAGATTTCTCTCTGCCTCTCTGTAACTCTGCCTTTCAAACAAATACATAAATCTTAAGAAAGAAAAAAAGAAGCAAGCACTATTGCAGAGGGGGTTAGATAAAACTCTGCTCCAAGTACCCCCACTACTTTAGTATCTTCCTGTGTTCTAAAAAAATCCCTCAGGATCTGGACTCCCTGTGGAATACTGAGGCATTAGCACCCCTAACAAAATGGGAAGCCCAAACCTTTGGAATCTAACATAAAACTTCAAAGATCCTGAGAGGGATGCTGCAGAAACTTTTGCATCCTCAGTCTTCCTTTGTACTCTGTCCCAGCAACTGGTAACCTAGAACTAACCATCCTCATTATTAATGTCCAGTTACTACAGAGCACAATGAATATGTTTACCATTATATTTTTATCAATTTCTAAGTTTTAATTTCAACACTAAATTCTGAGTGGATTTATATATATTTAGTCTTCATAAGCTCATTTAACATGCATGACAGTCTTCTTAAAAGTTAAAAAAAAAAATCACTGCTTTCAAGTGGTTCTTTGATGAAGGATGTTTACTTTAATGTCCAGATAACACACAGTCATTCTGGAAGTCTGCATTTCTTAATAGTATTCCACACAACACAACATTCCTCTAAGCACATATTGAAGAGTTACGCATCACAGTGTCTTTGGTGCCACAGCTTTCCAGATACGGCTGCACTTAGCAACAAACCTCATGGTACCAATGACATTACTTAGTTAACATCCATCGACCTTTGAAGAAAAATGGAATAAGTCTTTTAATCTATTTTTAACAACTATTGTTGTTAAACTTACCAGCAACTGAACACTGTCTTCCCCCAAGAGATGCAGAATCTTGTAAATGCTTGCAAAGATTAAGGGGTAGGTATAACCTCTCAATCTTTCTGTCCACTCCCAAGTCAAATAACCATAAGTAGTAATATTAAGGACTATGTGTCAAATAGTATTGAAACAATACTTATTTTCATTTCTCCTCAAAAAACTTTTTGATAATGAAGTTTTGAATAATTTTATAGTAGATATTTGAATTAAAAATTCAGCTGGGCAATTTTATTTGTAGCCCTCAAGTACTGAGCACTGTGGGAATATATGCTAAAGGCTACATCACATGTACTAACATCAAAGAGAAGAGATAGGATAAAATAGCATACTTTGAAGAGTTAAAATTACCCGTAGAAAATGGATTGAAACTGAACACAGTTCCTAAGATGAATATACTTTCTAGTCTGCCAAAGAATCTACAAAGGATATTTGAAAACCATCCGATGCGCAACTTCAAGAGACTGCCAGTATTCATCTGGAACAAAGCTTGTCTGAACTAAAAAACAGTTAAGAATTCGCAAAGCAATAGTAAAGAAGACCAGGCAGGCATTTTCTCCAAGAAGACCTGCAAAACAAAACAGAGCAGTTGAGTGTGACACGGGAGTTCCACTTGCAGAGCTGAAACTGCAGCTCTGGGTGGTCCCCTTGCTCAGGCACAGTGAAAACTGCCCACCTGCGCTCAAAGGCCAGCGCCTCCCTTCTGCCATCGTCACTCCCTGGCTTAACCGAACTGTCTTGCAATTTACTGCATAAAGAGAATACTAAGATTAAAAAAAAAAAAAAAAGAAGAAGAAAGGATCGGGTTTAACTAAGACCTAAGCTAATTAGGTTATGCTACATATGGATTTAAAGAAAAAGAAAACAGCTTAAAAAATGGCTTAGGACACAACTCTTGGTGTGTGGCCCAAACAGCTGTGTACAACATGTTCCTCTGCACAGTTAAAAATATTCCTTATTGGGGTGGGCAGTTGGCACAGAGGTTAAGACGCCTGTAAGTGTCTGGAATTCAATCCTGGTTCCACTTCCCATCCAGCTTCCTGCTAGTACACACCCTGGGTGGCAGCAGGTGGCGGCCCAAGGACGTGGGTCCTGGCCACCCACGTCTGTGGCCCAGACCAGGCTGCTGCAGGCGTTCGGAGTGTGAAGCAGCGGATGGAAGATCTCTGTCTCTACCTTTCAAGTAAGAAGTGAAAATAATGCAAAAATCTATTATACATATATAGATAAGCATACACATATATAAAGTATATATTAAGCATCAGTAAGGGATAGATATACGTGTGTGTGTGTGTGTGTGTGTGTATGTGTACCCCTTATTGATGCCTATTTACGCCAGGCACTGTGTTAATTCCTTTACGTGCATCTCATTTAATTCTCAAAGCAATGCTACGCGGTAGATATTAACCGCATTTTACACAGGCTCAGAAACTAAATCACCTTGTGAGAAGTTAAAAAGTTGTAAGCAGCAGTATTCAAATTGAGGTCTCTGTGCTACAAACGGACGGCCTGTAGGCTGAGCAGAGTAATTTTTAAAACTTGCACTGTAGCCCGCAACATCTAAAAGTCGGGCTTTATATTAAACACCGTATTTCTAGCACCCTGAGATTCTCCAAGACGCGGCAACGCCTGGCTGGTAGTGAAATGCGGGGCGCTCCCTTTCCGAGACGGCACTCACCTCCGCGGCGCCCGGGGCTCTTCTCCTGGGAGCTAAGGTACAGGACAGACTTTCTCTTCCGCAGCTTGATCTCCTGGGAGCGATTCTGCAGGCCGCGGAAAGCGAGGCTGCCCTCGCCGCCTTCCCGCCGCATTCCGCACCCACTCGGAGGCCCGCCGTGGCCACACGGTGTCGCGCCACCTCCTAGGGGCGACCAGAGCCCCTGGAAGCGCGCGTTGCGCTTGTGCCCACGAAGTTTGGCTTCTGCGAGCAGCCGTTGCTTGCCGGCGCGGGGGCAGCCGGGAAAGTCGGCTTGCGCACGCCACCCCACCTGGGCGGTCTCCGCGGCGGAATACGGCACGTTCGGTCTGCGTCCCCACGCTGCGCCGCGCCGCGCCGCGCCCTCGCGCTGTCCCTGCGACTTCGCCTTTCCGCGCCGGGCAGGGTTACTGCTCGTTCTTGGGTGGGTGGCCTCCGCGCCCTGCCGTCGAGAAACTGCGGGAAGGAGCCCGATCCCGGCTCTGCAGGTGGGCGGCGGGGTTAGCGACGCGGCCCGGGCGCGGTGCGCTCGGAGCCGCCCGAGTGCGGCTCATGTAGCATTCGTTATACGGTGATGTGAATCAGAAAGCCCACCTTTCACGGGGAGATCCCACAGAAGCATCTGTTGAACGAGGTAGGCAGGCACGAGGTGAGTTGGCTGCTTTTCAGATGTGGCTTCTGAGGCTTAGAGGAGGTTTCTTGTGTTTGTTTTTGGAAACACTCAGCTGCCATGGAGCCGGGGCAGGATTCGTGAAGCGGACCCGTCGCCTGCAGGAGCGCTCAGGAAAGCGGGCTTTTCCGGTTCCTGGGTCCCGTTCCGCCACCGATGACGTTGGTGGCCTCGGGGAGCTGGTTTGGGAGGCCGTGAAGTGTCCTTAGGATGAAGGGACGCGGGGATCCTTGCCTGTGCTGCCTTTCAGACATCTCCCTGGCTGGTCCAGGGGCTGGTGTGTTGACAGCGAAGTTTACTTTCCGGATAGCTAGGGCCTGTAAACCGTTATCAGTGAGTCCATCCAAGTAGTCGTCCTCGTTTCCTTAAGAGTGGGCGGTGGACAATTAATTTGTGGTGTTTGCTTGTATTCACTGCAGTTTCGAAGGGACCTTGACTCTTAAGCTTTTTAGAAAGGTTTTTTTTTCTGTTCGTATCACACACGTTGCCTAAAAAGGCGTGACTAGTGCGGGAGAGAGGACGAAAAGGAACACTCTGTTCCTGCCTTTCTCCTGCTTCCTGGTCAGGGGCCTCGGAGCAGCCACCCGGGCTTGTGGTCTGACTTTAAAGACAGAGAATACGCCTCCCCTCGCCTCTTTTTGCCATTGTAAAAATTAGCCATATTTAAATGTTACATGTTAACATTTAAACTCCCAGAGAAGATTCTGTAGTAGAAGAGGATTTAGTTGTGTCTTAGACCACCCGGATAACGCTCATACTCAGGTCGACTTTGATATTTGATATTCCTGTTTCAGTAACTGATGTGTTCATGTTTTTATAAGATGCTGTTGATGTCACAACGTGAAATCTTTAAAAAGGATAATGTACTAAATTGTTGCCTTGTTTCCCATTTCCTTTGTCTACAGATCTGAAGAGATTTCCTGGATGTGGAATGTGAACCTTTAAAACCACCCCTGCACCGGGCCCTGTCTGTGGGAACAATGTTTGGGAGGTTGACTCTTCCGCAGCTGCTTTTTGCAAGCATCCTTGGAATTGCTGGAGGAATATATATTTATCAACCAATATTTGAACAGTACTCCAGAGAGCAAAAAGAATTAAAAGAAAAGGTGAAATGGGCACAAGAATCACAAGAAAAGAAAAGTTAATGCTGCATGAAGTTGAATTGTAACAGTTGGTTAAATTTCCACTGAAATCACACATTAATTATAAACTTATAGGCACAAATAAATCATAATAACTTAAAATGACTTTTTAGACTAGCACTGTTAATACTTACTGCATTTTTTTTTTTTTAATTTGAGAGAGATCAGTCCCATCCCTTGGTTGGTTCGCTCTCCAAATGCTCCCAACAACCGCACTGGGCTGAGCCAAAGCCGTGAGCTGGAAAGTCCACCCAGTCTCCCATGTAGATGGCAGGAACCCAAATGCTTACGGACTTATCACTGTCTCCCTAGATCTGCGTTAGCCAGAAGCTGGTGTCAGGAACCTGGAATCAAACCTACATACTTCAGTTTTGGAGGCGGGCGTTCTATTGGCGTCTTAGGCCAGACATCCACTCTTTGACATTTTTTAAGAATACTGACCTGTTGTATAGAATGTCCCTTAAATTGAGTACGTTGATCCTTTCTTATATTTACATAGATTCAATTTGATAAAGATATATCAGCATGATTCATGAATTCATTGCTTGGGTTACAGTCTAACATTAGGGCTGGCTGCATGATTTGTAGACTCTAGTACAAATGAAAATGCAGGGGTCGGCAGGGGAGCAGCACTGTAGCTTAGTGGGCTGAGCCTCTGCTTGCGGCGCCGGCATCCCATGTGGCCGCTGGTTTGAGTCCTGGCTGCTGCGCTTCTGATCCAGCATCCCTGCTGATGGCCTTCTGTGGGAGACCCGGAAGAAGCTCTTGGCTCCTGCCTTCTGACTGGCCCAGCTCTGGCCTTTGCAGCCATTTGGGGACTGAACCAGTGGATAGAAGACCTCTCTTTGTGTCTTTCCCTCTCTCTCTCTCTAACTCTGCCTCTCAAGTAAATCTTAAAAAAAAAAACAAAAACCAGGGACCGGGTGAGGAAAAGGAAGTAACTTCCCTCCTCTCCTGGTCAAGCCATGCAAATGTGAAGCCCTCAAGGGGTTATAGCCTCCATGCTGGTATGGTTTTGATTCTTGGGAGGCAGTGTTAAGGGGCCCTGGCTGAGTGCCCTGCAGGATATAACGTGGCACTGCCAGGTCAGAGAAACAGCTGCCTTCTTGCCCATCTTAGGGTGCCATGGGGTACAAACCCAATCCTGACCCTCCTGTACCCCTCTGCCTAGGCTGCTGCCATGATGGGAGATGATGGTGGGATATGAGTCTCCCTCAGCCAAGGTAACTGGTCACTGTTGTTGAGTAAGGCAGGACAGCCGGATGGGGCCTGGGGTGGGAACCAGGTGGCAGCAGGAGTCAGATCGGTGTGTGTGCAGAGGCTTCCAACCCCCATAAGCACCACGTGTCATCAGAGTTGCCTTACAGGGCCTGAATTCAACGTTGGCAAAATTTCAGGACTGATTGCAGAGCATTATAATTTTGACTCCCAGCTGCATCCTTGCAGCCAGTCCTGACAAACACTGTTGTACTGTTAGATTGTCATAGTTTTGGCCACTGGAAACTCCTCCAAGCTGGCTCCTGTGCTTCCCCCTTCCCCTTACATTTATCTCAAGTATAAAAAGAGAGGTTTAAAAATTTAAGACTTCTGAAAAAAAAGTCACAGGTAGGTATGTAAGAAGAGTATGACTTGTATGGTGGGCAGTTTTGAAAAATAAGCTTGACCCATGTAACTTACCAACAAACAAACATTTAAAGTCTCAGATAAATAAGTCCTTGCGTGAGGAACAGTTCCCTCAGGGTGGATCCAGTGTGTTGGTGGTGTGTCCTTGTCATTCTTTGAGTACTCTTAACTCTGGCTCATGTTTTGCTTTCCTAGACCAAGTTTTCAATTAAAAAAAAAATCAGTTCTTTTTTAAAGATTGAAGCAAAATTCACAAAGAATTAGGGATTAACATTGTAAAATGTACAATTTTGTGGCAGTACAGATGCAGTGTTTTGCAACTGTCACCTCTGTATAGTTTCATAACATTTTCATTACTCAAAAGGAAAGCACAGGTACAATAAACAGTCACTCCTGTTTCCCCTTCTTGTCAGACCCCGATAGTCTGCTGTATGTGTCTGTGGATTTACCTGTTCTGCATGGTTCATATGAATGGAACCACAATATATGACCTGTTGTGGCTGGCTGCTTCTACTTAGCATGCTTTTGCAGTCCGTCCATACTGTAACAAGTGTCCATACATGGTTTTGTTTTATGGCTAATATTCCATTGTATGGAGATACACACACACACACACACACACACATACACATACATACACACACATTTTGTGTATTCATCTATTGATGGAGGTTTGGGTCATTTCCACTCTGGTTATTGTAAATAGTGCCACTGCAAACACTTGTGTACAAATATTTATCTGAATACCCACTTTTAATTCTTTTGGGGATGTTTCTAGGAAGGGACTTATTGAATGATCTGGTAATTCTGTAAAGCTTGTTGAAGACCCACCAAACTTTTCTACACCAAATTGTTTTCCAAAGTTACTGCATTATTTCCTGTGTTCACTGGCAGTGTGTCAAGGTTCCTCCAGATCCTCATCAACACACCAAGACTTTTGTCCTCTCTCCTTTTCCCTGTCTTCCCTCCCTCCCTCCACCCCTTCTTTGTTTCCTTCCTGCCTGCCTGCCTGCCAATCTAGTGGATATGAAGTGGTATCTCTGTGGTTTGGTTTTGTTCTAAAATTCGTTCACTTATTTGTTTGAAAGGCAAAGTGAGAAACAGAGATCTTCCATGCATCGGTTCACTCCCTACATCTGCAGAACTGCTGGTGCTGGGCCAGGGTGAGCTAGCAGTCTGCCACTCAAGGACCTAGAACTTGAGTCAACACCTGCTGCCTCCCAGAGTGCACCTTAACAGGGATGCTAGAATTGGAAGCGGAACCAGGACTTGAACCCAGGCCCTCCAATATGGGATGTAGATGTCTCAATTGGCATTTTAAGCACTGCTCTAAATGCCTGACCCTTGTTAGGCATTTGCATTTTGTTGTTTTCCTAGAAATTTCTTGATTTGGAAGGGAGTCAGGAAAGCAAAGTGCTCCCAGCCACGAATGCAATCCCCTGCAAAGGCATGGGACTGAAGCCAGGAGGGGCACTGGGAATGCAGTCAAGGTCTCCGATGTGGATTGCTGAAATCTAATTACTAGAGCCGTCACCCCTGCTTTGCAGGGTCTGCTTTGACAGGAAGGCAGTTGGGAGCGGGGCCCTGGAATTGAACCCAGGCACTGTGATGTGAAATGTGGGGCATCTTAACCACTAGGCTCACTGCCTGTTCCTTGATTTGCACTTTCTTAATGACTAGTGACATTGAACATCTTTTATGTGCTGTTGAGGATTTTAGTTTCTTCCCCTTTGAAGAAATATCTGTTCAAGTACTTTTCTTTCTTTCTTTTCCTCCCTCCCTCCCTCCCTCCTTTCTTTCTTTCTTTCTTTCGTTCTTTCGTTCTTTCGTTCTTGTTCTTTTTCTTTTTCTTTTTTGTAATTTGGAAGGCAGAGAGAGAGCAAGCACAAGCGAGCTCTGACCCTTTGGTTCACTTCTCAAATGCCGGCAACACCCAGGGTTGGGCCAGGCTGAAGCTAAGAGCTGGGAACTCAATCTGGGCTCCCCTTTAGTGGCAGGGCCCAAGCACTTGACTCATCGCTGTTGTTTCTGAGGGTGTACTTATGAGTGACTTTGAGACTTGAGAACATGGGCAGGTGTCCCTAGGGGTGGCTCTAAAAAGCCAAGTGTCTGCCCCCATTATCCAATTTCTCTTTTCAGATTTTGTTTATTTATTTGAGAGGTGGAGTTACAGGCAGAGGGAGGGAGAGACAGAGAGAAAGGTCTTCCATCCGCTGGTTCACTCCCCAATTGGCCGCAACAGATGGAGCTGCACTGATCCGAAGCCAGGAGCCAGAAGCTTCTTCAGGGTCTCCCACGTGGGTGCAGGGGCCCAAGCACTTGGGCCATCTTCTGCTTTCCCAGGCCACAGCAGAGAGCTGGATCAGAAGTGGAGCAGCCAGGACTAGAACCTGGCGCCCATATGGGATGCCAGTGCTTCAGACCAGGGCGTTAACCCTCTGCGACACAGCGCAAGCCCCTTGACATATGTTTTGATACCATAGTCTTATCAGTTGTTTGATTTGCAAATATTTTCCCACATTCTGTAGGTGGTATTTTTACTTTCTTGATAGTGTCCTTTGATACACAAAATTTTTAAATTGTATAATGTTTAATCTATTTTTTCTTTTGTTGCTTTTACTTTTCTGTGTCAAGTCTAAGAAATCATTGTCTAATCCAAGTTCATGAAAATTTATGCTTTAGAGCTTTAATTCTTTTTAATTTAGAGCTTTAATTCTTAAGTCTTTGACCCATTTTTAATTTTTATGCATGATGTGACCTAGAGTCCAATTTCATTCTTTTGCATGAGGATATCCAGTTCTCCCAACACTGCTTGTTAAAGATACTGTTTTCCCATTGAGTAGTTGTGGCATCCTTGTTGGAAATCATTTGGCTAGAAATATGGGTTTATTTCTGAACTCTTAAGTCTGTTGCACTCATTATGCCTTTCATGCCAATCCCACACTATTTTGATTTCTGTAACTTTGTGGTAAGTTTTGGAATCAGAAGGGTACAATCTTCAACTTTGTGGATCCTTTGCAATTTGATAGATTTCAATATCAACTTTTCTGTTTTGCAAAAATGTTGAAATTTTGATGGGGATTGCATTGAATCTGTAGATTGCTGTGAGGAATGTGCCATTTTTATAATATTATGTTTTCTAATCCATGAACGTGGAACTTTTTCATTTATTTAGGCCTTCTTTAATTTCCTTTGATTGTGTTAGAGTTTTCAGTATGTAAATTCTGAACCATTTTGGTTTTTATTCCTAGATATTTTATTCTTTTTAATGCTATTATAAATGTAATTATTTTCTTAATGTCCTTTTTATTTATTTTTCAATTAAATTTATTTGCTTACTTGAAAAGCAGAGAGAGAGAAAGAGAGAGACAGATATCTTTCACCTCCTGGTTCATTCCCTAAATGCCTGTAACAGCTAGGCTGGGCCGGGCTGAAGCCCAGAACTGGGAACTCCATCTGCACCTCCTACATGGATAGCAGGAACTCAACCATTTGAGCTATCACGTACTGCCTCCCGGAATATGCACTCGCAGCAGTGGGAATTGAAAACGGAGCTGGGACTTGAACTTAGGCACTCTGACATCGATGTGGACATCCCAAGTGGTAACCTAACCACAGTGCCAAGTGCCTGCCCCTTGATGTCCTTTATATTTTTATTTTTAAATTTTTTTAAAGATTATTTATTTGAAAGGCAGTTACAGAGAGGCAGAGAGAGAAAGTCATCCATCTGCTGGTTCACTCCCTCAATGGCCGCATCCAAAGCCAGGAACCAGGAGCTGCTTCCGGGTCTCCCACATGGGTGCAGGGACCCAAAGACTTGGTCCATCTTCTACTGCTTTCCCAGGCCACAGCAGAGGGCTGGATCAGAAGTGGAGTGGCAGGGACTCGAACTGGTGCCTATATGGGGTGCCGGCACTGCAGGTGGTGGCTTTATCTGCTATGCCACAGTGCTGGCCCCTATTTCATGTTCTTGACCTTAATCTTTTTTTTTTTTAAAGATTTATTTATTTATTTGAGAGGTAGTGTTACAGACAAACAGAGGGAGAGACAGAGAAAGGTCTTCCATCTGCTGGTTCACTTGCCAGATGGCCACAAGGGCCAGAGCTGGGCCAGGCTGAAGCGAGAAGCAAGGAGCTTCTTCCATGTCTCCCACATGGATCAGGTGCTCAAGCACTTGGGCCATCTTCCACTGCTTTCCCAGGCCACAGCCGAAAGCTGGATCAGAAGAGGAGTGGCCGGCCGCCCTATATGGAGTGCCAGCACTGCAGGCAGTGTCTTTACCCGCTATG